GGCCAGCTTCAAGACCTCCATCCTTCTACCTATTTCTCCCACCTAGGTGGGATTACAGGTGTGTATCACCATATCTAGCTTATTTATTGAGATATGGGGTCTTACTAACTTTTTGCTCAGGCTTACCCTTAAAATGTGATTCTCTTGATCTCCAGCTCCTGAGTAGCTGGGATTACAGGTCTGAACCACCATACCTAGCCTAAAATAGTATTCTTTTAAATTTTAATTTCCAATTGTTTATTGCTAGTGCATAGATATGGAAATGATTTTCATATATTAATCTTATATCTTGTGGCCTCCTGCATGCAGTTATTCTTTTAGCTTCTTAGTAGATTATATATGATTTTCTATAAAGATGATTGGTTGTGCCCCCTAAAAACAGACTAGGAGGAAGTCAAGACTGTTTATAGTATTCTGCAATTTTAGTTTACACTCTATAAAATATGGAATCTAGAAATTTGGAGAAGGTGGTTATTAGTAGTAAGGAGAGGAATGAAGTGTCTTCTCTGCCTAGCTGATCAATTTTCCTTCCTCCATCCCTTTCCGTCCTTGTGTTTTTACATGTGTATTGTCTAGTTATTGCTTACAAGACGAATGTGCCATTTGTTGAACACGACCATCCTTTGCTTCACTGTACTGCATTTGCTCCTCAGTCAAAGGTCAGCTGACTATTTATGTGAGTCAATCTGTGGCATCTCCATTCTTTTCAATGATCTAGTTGCTTATTTTTTTGCTAATACTACACTGTCTAGATTATCACATCTTCATATTAAGACTTCGAGTCTCATAGTAGTAGTTTTCTGACTTTGCTGTTCTTCATTGTTACACTGGCTATTAGGAGTCTTTTTATTTCTTCTTGGGTTTCTTTTATCACACTTTTGTAGTTTTAGCTATACAGTTCTTGAACAAATATTGTTAGATTTAGACCTAAGTATTTCATTGTTTGAATGCTAATGTAAATGGTACCAGTTTTAATTTCAAATTCCACTGGTTCATTACTGGCATAGAGGAAAGTAATTTGACTTTTGTATCTTTTGACCTTGCTATAAGTCTTTATTAGTCCAGGATTTTTTTGTTATTGTTTATTATTTTGGATTTTCTACTTAGATGACCACATCACTTACAAAGTCAATTTTATTTCTTCCTTCCTTTTCTCTATATATTATATTTCCTATTTCTGTCTCAATACATTAGCAGAGACCTTACTTTGGTTTACTGAAGCTATTGGAGACCTTTTTCTTTAATATGCATGCTTAGTGCTGTACATTTGTTAATCCAAGAACTGTTTTAGCTGCTTCACATCATGTACCTCATATTCAGTTTGTATGAAGAAAAGCAGCACACAGTTAGATATACATGAACTTATCAGAACTGGTGAATGACTAATTGGTAAGAGGCCCAGAAAAAGAAATACTGGAAGACTAAGGATAAGGAATTCTGGAGTATGAAGCTTATGGATGACCTATGGGGGGTTAACACAAACTGTCTTGATCTTTGGTATTATATGTTAAACACCCACCAGAAAGCATTCAAACACAGTAGCAGTACTAAATGACAAAGCAAACAAAATGATGCAATCTGCTGGTGGCCACTCCAGTGCACAAGGGGCACATGAATGGGGTAGACATGACAGCAGAGATGGAAACTGCTGGGCCCAACAACATGAGCTCCTACTTACCAAGGCTGATCTAGCTCTTAGAGCTGCCATTCAGTATTCACAGATACTGAATCTGATATAGCATTTATACTTTGAAAAGACCAATCAGCTGTTTGGTGGCAAGTTAACTGTTTTTTACTCCTACCCTGGAAGTGGCACAGATGCTTTTAAACTGAAATATACATGTTCTGTGCATTTGTTTGCTTTCCATCCTCCCAGAAACTTAGCTACTACCATTATTCAAGGTCTTACAGAGTTATCCACTGACAGAAGATTCTACATAGTAGCACACTGTACTAACAGACCCAATGTACAGTAAAAGTACCATGGCAGAGGGCGTACGACCACAAGATCCCATGGTCCTATCACACACTGCACCACATGGAAGATGCTGGCCTGACAGAGCAATGGAATGGTTTTCTGAAGACACAGCAGAGGCCCCATCTTGAAGACGATGCTCTGCAAGGGTGAGGCACCATCCTCTCAATGCAGGATGTGCTCTACACCAGCAGTCACATGTGATGCTGTGCTACCATCTGGAAGATTTACATGGAATCAAGGGCACAAGGTAGAAGTGATTCTTCTCATCATCACTCCCAGAAACCCTTGTGGGAGGCTTTGTGTACTATCCCCCACAAGCTCACTGGTTTTAAAAGGTCATATCACTAGGTGAAGAGAATCCAGACTGGAGAGTAGAGGAAGACGATGGGTATAAGTATGGTCTGCAGACCAGTGCCAGAAACACCTATAGTTTGTCTACTAACTTTCTTCTTATAAGTTCCCCCTGAGCTAACACAAAGAAATAGATTCAGTGTGGACTACACTGGATGCTGTGAAGCAGCTTCCACTTTTCCTACCAAATCTGAAAATCTGTTTGCTGCTGAGTGCTGCTGCCTGACCAACTGTCACTTGTCAGCCATTGTAGGAACTGGCATGGAGAAAAGCTGTCTTACCAAAGTCACACCCTTTCCTGGGGACAGACTACATCCAATGATTGGCTGGTATGAAGGAATTAAAACCAGGTTTCCTTGCCTTGTCGTGTGAGATCTTTGTCAAATTTGTAGAATTTTCACAATTATTTTCTTCAGTCCCTTACAGTTGGTTGTGAGAAGACTTCCTAATAATTTTTTACGAGCTAATTTCCATTTTTGTCTGTTTCCTGAGTAACCCAACCTGTGAGTGGCAGCTAAGTACTATTTGTTGATGTAGAGAATGGTGGAGGAGGAACAGAACTTGAATTTTTCACTTTTTTACTTTGAGAGAGTTTGGGACAGTAATGTAGTGATTATAAGCAAATTTAACATTTAAGTTTGGCTTTCAGGGGAAAACTAAGAACTAGAGATAAAATTTGGGAGTTAGGGCAGGCATGTAATCCCAGCTACTCTGGAGATGGAAGTAGGAGGATCACAGTCTGAAACCAGACTGGGAAAAACCAAGAGTCCCTGTCTGAAAAACAAACTAAAAAGCAAAAGGACTGGGGATGTGGCTGAAGTAGTAGAGCACTTGTCTAGCAAGTGCAAGGCCCTGAGTTCAATCCCCAGAATCCTCTCTCCCCCTCAGAAGGAATTAAGAGTATGAAGATGGAAATTAAAAGCATGAATAAGTATAAGAATGCTAATATAGTTGGTACAGAATAAGAAGTAGGCCAAGGGCAGAGACTTAGAAAAGGGCAAAATTTATTTGAAAAGTAGAGGAAAAGTAGCTCACCAATACAATTACTGTAGGAAAGCCAGAGACATCATAGAAGAACCAAAAATACATGGTATGTACCTTGACATTCTGGGGAGCATCAAGAAAGGAGAGGTTGAAAACATCCATGTTGTAAAGACAGCACATCAGGACAAATAAGAAGAGCTCACTAGATGCATTCCCCTAATATCCATTGACTTTATCCATTGAGAAGTGTTCAGTGGACTGATGGGAGTGAAAGCCAAACTGCATTAGAATAAGGGCAATAATTCCCCAATATGGTGTTGCAATGTTAGGAGAATATTTCACATAGTTTCTAGAAAGCTTGAAAAATGAGTTCTTTCTTTCATTGCTTATAGGCTGGGGACAGGCAAATTCACAGATTTTCATTTACATGTAAGATTTTGGTTTATTTATAACCTATTGGTGAAATTACTAAGAATTACAAAAAAATTCAGAACTTGAATATTCAGTAGTCCAAATTTGGCAAATCATTGGGGTTTGCTGAGGACTCTAGATCAGTAAGAAAGTAACGGGCAATGCTGAACATGTCCCATTTTGTGTGCTCACATAATTGCGTTCTCCTAGTTTTTAGGAATGATTTTAAATGATCCTTGCCAGCATGGTCTTGAATAAGTCATTAGGATTTTGACCTGTAATTTTTCATTTAATATATTTTTTAAACAATGAACTTAAACATTTTACATTATTTGGACCTTCCATTACCTCTCTTCCCTCATGTTATATAGCCCACCATAATTTCATTCCAGCTGCACTGCCTTTCTGCTATATCTGTAAGCATGTAGGGCTCCTGCCCCCAACCTTGGAGACTGCATTGGATAGTCCCTCTGCCTACAATCCTCAGACATCAGGGTGGGCAATTTTTATTACATCATCTGAAATCCACTCAAACATCATCTTCACAGGGACACATGGACCCAGTTTACAACTGCAAACCACAACCATTATTCTCCACTCTGAATCGCTGTCTGCTCTCCTATTTTTTCCAAAACATTCATTACCTTTGAATATTGTATTTTTAAAATCTTCCAACTGGAATGAAAGCATCCTGACCTCAAGAATCATTCTTGCTTTCTGTCCTCCCAGGTCTTAAGAGTGTTTTACACATAGCTGGTATGCAATAGACTTGAATGAATAAATATGTGCGGCTCTAACAATAAGGGAACAATAGGGGCTATGGACTGCAGAGTCTTTTACTTTTGCCTGAATTGTTTAAAATCTTTTAGATGCAATGATGAAGAATTTAATGGTACATGACGTAAAAGGTGTTTCAGAGGAGGAAAAACAAGGCAGTCTCCAGCAGACACAGGATAAAGGGAGTCTGTCTTAGAGATCAGTGAAGAGAAGAAAATGAGGGGGAGAACAAAGGGGAGAAATGCACACATATGAAAGAACTGAGTAGGTATAATAGGAAAGAATAAGTAAAAGAGGAGGACTTAATAAGATAGGGCATAGAAAAGGAACAAGCGGTTTGAGAGTGGAAACATGAGGATAAAATACTGTAAAAACATGAAGTTCAAAGTGAAACATTATTGTGTAAGTAGAGGTATCTGCATAAAAGGCGGAGGCTGAAAAGAGCTTGATGTAATTTATGCCTGTGTATTAAATGTCTTTCTACTGGTGTTTTACTTGCCTGATCTAGGTTTGAAAGGCTGTTTGGGTCCTGGCTCAGAGCTTGGTACTGCCCTCTAAGCCTGTCACCGGCTGCAATTCTCCTGAACTTCTTGAGGTCCACCACGTATAGGGCACTGCAAAGACAAACATTCCTTGATAGCCCCACTGTATATATGATTCTGCTTCCCCTAGTGAATGTCTAGAGTGATGTCATTAACTATGGAAAGCCTAGGGCCTAAAATAATTATCCTTTTATAAATTTCCTTCCAATTTCTAGTCATGTTCCACAGAGTATTAAGTGTGTTACAATTCTGGTAGCCTCTAATATTCTTTAAGGGTCACTTCGAGTTTTTCTAAGTTGTCTTAAAACTCATAGCCCTACAAAAAGTAACAGCTTTGAAGACAGTGTCTGTGTTTTGTTATCTGACAAACCATACTTAATCTTTTGCAGTAGTTAGGAGTATATTCTTGAACCGTATCACTTGGGTTTAACCACTGGCTCAAGTATATACTAGCAAGGTTAAGCCTGGGCAAGTCACATAAATGCTGAATGCCTCAGTTTCCTGACCTATAAAATAAAGGTAACAACAGTGTCACAAAGGCTGCTGTCATAAGATTTTATGAGTTAATGTATTCAAAGGCTATTAACAATGATTGGTATGTAATAAGCACTATGACAGGTTATAATTATTATATAGTGTGTGATTCAATACATCACTTATTTACTGAAAGGTAAGAGTATAAACTTTCTTACCTGATATGGTATTTCCTTCTTGAAAGATGGGATGCCCAGTATCCTGTTTTCCAGAAACGATATCCATCCATTTCAGTGCGGCTATCACAAAATGGAGTATACCCATAGGGAGCTCCACCCAGATCAAAATCACGAAGTTCTTTTAGGTCATGTCTCACAATCTAAATAATTAAAATAAGGTCTCTAATGAAGACTGTAAAATAACATAGCCAGATATATGGGAATTTCAAATCACTGTTACCCTATTGTTGAGATATAGACAAGTGCTTTCTTCTCACATGTACTAAATGTTTAATTTTTAGTTCTTGTCTTTACAGATAAAAAGAAAACAGAAATTTATATTCTTAGTTTACGTAATGGTATTCTTAGTCAGCAGGAGGAATTCTTTGTTACATTTCTAGTGAAGGTATTTTATATAACACGCATTTTGGGAAGGGATTAAATATTACAAAACTGCACTGTTCTTAGTTTCTCAATGTGTGCATTAGTAATTCAAAATCATTACATGACAAATACCCATTATTATGCATTAGAAAACATTAAGTTGAATCATAAAGAAAAATCTTCTTATTATTCTAAATAGCATTAGTGACACAATGTTATTATGTCTTATTTTTTAATTGACCCAAGTCTGCTATAAAAATATTAGTGTTTGTGTTGGGAGAAGGTAGAGAAGAAATTTATCAGACAAATTATTTGGAAATGATTCCTTCATATCTATACTTGCCTATTTTTAAATTTCTATTACAATGATTCATATTTGTTAACTTGGAAAATGTTTCCAAAATAAAAAACAACAACAGTTTAGATAGGGTATACATAAATTCTAATATAGAACCTAAAAATATCCTTTTTTGGTGGTACTGAAATTTGAACTTAGGGCTTCACACTATACCACTTGAGGCACTCTGTCAGCAAAAATATACTTTTTGTCCTAGATATTTAAGTTCAATTTATGTATTTAATTTATAATACATTTACATATTACCATTAGACAATGTGTATATTTTTCAAATATTTTTCCCACCAATGATTACAAAGGTAATCTAAACTAAGGAAAAGGAGAAGTCTTAACTTTCAGATACATAAATTTTGAAGCTGAGGACCTTAAATATTTTTCTGGTCCAATTTAGGACTTTTGCTTAACTGGTAGAGTTCTGGGGACTCTTTTATTCATTAAATGTCAAAGAATGCTACTGAAGGTAGAAGAATGAGGAAAGTTGTGTGTTACTGTTGACTTTTCCAAAGAAGAAATGGGATTCATTTAATTCTTGCTATTATGAGTAACATTTGATTTATTCTTTAATTTCCAAATTATAGAAAACTGCTATGTCCTCAATAATAAATGATATCTTTTGCAATACCTTCAGTTTTCTCCTGGAATTCTGACAGTTTGCTTTTGAAGATACATTGCCTATACATCACCATTGTGTCTTATGCGGTTATGCATCATGACAACAAAGACGATAAACATGAGCAACATAAATTAAGTCCTACAAGTGTAAAAAAGTTTAATTACTACTAAAAATAATAATTAATCTTCTTACCTGGTCTGCATCAACAAAAATGATTTTGTCCACGGCTAGAGGAAAAAGGACATCAAGGAAAAGAATTTTGTAACCCCAAATAATCCGCTGTTTTTCAGTTTGTTGATGAAGCCAACGAGGCCACTTATATTGGACCAGTTCATATTGGAACTCATATTCCTTAGCCATATGAGGAATTACCTCCTAAAAACATACATACAAAAAAAATCAATGCATTCAGGGAAGAGAAGTAGTTTTGTCTTCTAGAAAAAAATGAACACATGTGGAACCTTTAGGGGCTGGAGCCTAATGGAAGAAGTTAGGTCACTGAGGGTGTGACTTGAAGGACAAAAATACTTGCTTAATAGCTGATATGAGATGAATAGGGCTCCACTAACACATGCTCTGTCATGATATACAGTGTCACCACAGGCTCAAAGTAACAGGGACAAGCAACCATGGACTAAAACCTCTAATCTATAAGCCAAAATAAATGTTTCCTCCTTAACTCCTTTTAAGTTGATTATCTCAGGTATTTTGTCACAGTAATGGGAAGCTGAGTAGCACAATCTATTAAGGAATAATATGAAAGTGCTGACAAATATGAAGAGTTGATATACATAAAAGTAAATAATTTGTTATAAAATATGTATATTATTAATTAGCATGATTATTGACTAAGATAAATGTTCACATTTTTGTTACTCATGTCTGGCTTGTGGAAACTTGACTCTAGAAAGAAAACCTCTGATCTTGGAACACCTATATATCACTTTACAAAAATTTCCACACACTGGTTGGTCAGAGAGGTGCAAACATAAAGAGGTGTGCAAAAAACACAAAATGAGCTGGAAATTGATAAATAAGATTCCCTATAGGAGTTTCATGTTTGAGATTTATGACTATTTAAGGATTAAAAATACAAGATAGTTGTTGTGGTTTGAATATCTGAAACCTGATTCAGTGTCTTTTTATAGAATGAGTAGTTGTACATTGCTTAACAACAGGGGTATGTTCTGAGAAATGCAGTGTTAGACAAGCTGTCATTGTCCAAACATTATACAATATACTTACACAAGCCTAGATAGTATAGGCTATTGCTCATAGGCTACAAAGCTATATAGCTTGTAGACAAATGGAACTCAATAGTGTTTATACATCCAGATAATAGAAAAGGCACAGTAAAAGTAAGGTATAAAAGATAAAAAAATGGTATGCCTGTAGAGTAAGTATACTTACAACATATAACTGGAAGTTGCTCTGAGTGAGTCAGTGAGTGAGTGGTAAGTGAATGTGAAGGCCTAGGGCTATTACTAGACATTATATAAACATTTACACTTAGGTTATACTAAATTTATAAAATTTTTTCTTTATTCACTAAATTAGCCTAAGCTTTCTTTCTAAACTTAAAACAATTGTCAACTTCTTGACTATTCTATAATAACAGCTTAAAACGAACACATCGTACAACTGTTCAAAAGTATTTTCTTTATATTATCCTATAAGCATTTTTCTATTTTTTATATTTAAAACTTTTTTGTTAAGAACCATGACACAAACATGTTAACCTGGGCCTCACAGGCTGAGGATCATTAATACCACTATTTTCCAAGTCTACACCTTCTCCACTGGAAGGTGTTCAGGGGCAATATGTTACACACATGGAGCTGTCATATCGTCTCCAAGATCCCTTGCAAGGACCTGCCTGAGGCTACTTTACACTTAACTTTTTATACAAGTAGAATTACACTTTAAAGTAACAATAAGATATAGTAAATATGTAACTGGTAATACAGTTCTTCTTCCTTCTTTTTTTTCTTTTGAGGTACTGGGGTTTGAACTCAGGCCTTCAAGCTTGCAAGGCAGGTGCTGTACCTCTTGAGCCACATCTCCAGTCCTTTTTGCTCTAGTTATTTTTGGAGATAGGGTCTAGTTTTTTGCCCAGGCCAGCCTAGGCTGTGATCCTCTTATTTTAGGCTTTCCACAATCACTAGGGTGACAGGTGTGTGCCACCATGCTCAGCTATTGTTTGGAATGGGGTCTCAAGCACTTTTTGCTTGGGCTGGCCTCAAACTGCAACCCTCCTGATCTCAGTCTCCCAAACTGCTAGAATTATAGGCATAAGCCACCATCACCTGGCTGGTGGTATTATGCAGTATCATGTACTATACATACTGTGTATGCTATACTTTTAATGACTGGCAGCACAGTAGGTTCTTTACACCTGCATCACTACAAGTACAGAGCAATGTGCTGTGCTATGGTATTACCATGACGTTGACATCACTAGGCTGCTGGAACTTTTCAGTTCCATTACAGTTTTATGGGACCAGTATCATAAATGTAGTCTGCTGTTGACTGAAACAACATGAGGCACATGACTGTTTAATCCAGAGGTAGTTAATGAAATACACTATTGTCTGAGTTTCATTCAGGAGACCAAAAATTGAGAGGGAGGATGTTAAAGGAGTAAGGGAAAGTATTAGCAAATATAAAATGAGCTTTTTTTCCCTTCAATGCTCATCTGTAACTAGTTGCTAGTTTTATCCTTATTTTTTCCTTTGCTTTTGAAAGACGATAGATTAAAAATTCAAATATAAGGATCGATATCAATTTTTTTGTCATTTATAAGTATCAATTTTATCTTTGAGTTGAAATTGTGACTAGAACAGTTGCTGGGTATCATTGTTTGGTTTCAAAATAAATACAAAAATATTAGGAGAAATTAGACAAAAAACTTTTTTCTTCTTTACCAACCTACACATACTAAAAATATTCACTCAACACAAACTATGTGTAGGTGGATACATGAGTGAAGAACAACAGAAAAATGTTGCTCTCAAAAAATCATTACTCTCGAGAGGCTTACACTTTAGAGGTGCCATGTAAAAAATAAGTGAAATTATTAAGTTATCTACAGATGCTAGAAATATAAAAAGGGAAGGAAAAGGGCATGGTAGATAAGGGGAAATTGTAGTTTGTCAAGTCCAGTCAGGATAGGCCCATACCTAAGGAAGTACAGTTTTAGCGAAGTTGTAGGAGAAGAAGGAGGGAGGCTTTCCAGACTGGAGAGGAGGGATCTAGAGTGTTGGCAGATTCTGCAGCTGGCTGCTGGTAATACAGGTGTTTTAACTGTGAAAATTCATCAAAGCTGCACACTTGTGATTTTTTTTTTTTTTTACTTTTCTGTGTATATTTCACTAAAATGTTTTCAAAAGAAAAATTCTAAAAGAAAGAAGCAAATTAGAGAAGGAAAATGCTATTTCAGATAAGGTATTACTTTTGGCCATGAAGTGGTGTGAGAGTTTTCTTTTATCCACAGGGAGAACTATTTTTCCAGTAAGTAATATACTCTCCTGTTAAGATGATCTTTTGATTGTATTATCTGTTTATTCAGTTACCCACCCCCATGCAATATTTGGCTAGTATGACAACATTCTAAAAATTCAGTGATAATACAATTAGCAAAGTATAGCTTCTTGTCTACATTTATGGGTTCTTTTTCAGTTTGTGTTGTCTATTGCCAAGTAAGCACAGCAGAGGCACCGACAGATAGGTTGCCTTTGAGGTTTAAATCTCAGCTATGTGCCTAATTAGCTGTTTTATCTCAGGCCTGTGGCCCCTTTGCCCTGGCTCCTGGGAGGTAACCTGTACTCATAAAGTTCCCTGCCTGATAGTAATGTCTTTGCTTCCCTGGGGACCTTGGGCAGCACCAGATGGTCTGTGGTGACAATGAGATTTTTGGTGAGGATCTCGGGCCACAAAGAATCAGCTCAACCTCTGGAGGGGCTAGAGGCTTAGGGCAGCCTGGCAGGGTGTCAGCTGGGTCTACTCAATAAAAATGCTGGAACCAAAATCTGGCTGAGTGCCCGTGGCTGACAATACCCAATGAAGAGTCATACTGTTGCTAGGAGAAATTAGTGCTGTCTGCACAACTCCAGAGGACAACTGGAGCTCCACCTTGTTTTGCCTGCATTTTGCCCTTCTTCCTTTCACAGATTTAGTTTGTGTCCTTTTGCGATAATAAACCGAGCATAACTGCTTTTCTGAGTTGTGTGGGGCTTTCTAGTGAATTTTATTGAACCTAAGGCTGGTCTCAGGAACCTTGTGGTGCAGACCAGTCTTGGTTTTCTTACCCCACGGGATGGTTATGAAAACATGTGAGTAATGCTGGCGAAGTACTTACCAACATGCCTGGAAATATCCAGGAATAAAAGCATAACTATTTTTAGTTCTGTTTCTACCACTGCTTTTTGTCTCTAAAAGAGAAATTCCATTGAACTGTTTTTGAAGGCGACCCTAACTTTCATGGAAAGTTCTAATTCCTTTGTATTGAGAATATGGAGAAACAGTATGCTTTGCAGGGCTGAATAAAGTAACAGAGGTTGGCCACTTGAGAATTTCTAAAGGTAAGTGCTCAGACACTTACATTGCAATGCACTACATAAAGACAGAGTTTTGTTGTTCTCAGTACCATAAGACTGTATTCTAGAGTGCAATTTTAATATTTTCTGAATACTATTATGATACTTGTAAAAATATGACAGAATTCAATTCTCTTAATTGAAAAACCTTTATATATTTTCAATTGTCAAATTTTAATCATTCACTATTATGCAAAATAACTAATCATTCTGATTTTTATTTTATTTAGAGATATAATCTCTTGCTGTCCTTTTCCTTTAAACATCTGAATAAAAATTGCAGAATTTTTCTTAAGCTAGATAAAAATACTGAACATTAACATCTTAAAATTTATTAAAATAGTATTGGAGTACATACACATTTCACAAGCCTTATTTTGAAAAAGGCTGCATAGGTTTACAATGATAACGCATAATTTACCATTTAAATATTGGCCACTCTATAAAAGGAGTAATGTACTTACTTTAAATGTTGGTGAGAGATAATTTTTCAGAAACCAAAATTTCACTGGTGTTTTGGTGTTACGTAAAACAGAAAGCATCATGATTCTGTATAAAAGAAAATCAAACCCCAGATTAGTTAACATCCTACTTTGTAAAAGGCATTTGAATATTTAGAGGTATGAATTTTGGAAACCAACCTGAAATATCTTCAAATATTATGGCAGATCAAATATGTAATGTATAAGGACAGAAATATAATTGATTGTTTTTTGTTTGTTCTAGCTGACAAAGAAGCTAGTTTGAAATAATCTTGTTTGGTTGAACTATAATCTAATTTTGACTATATTATTGCGTGATACATATTAGGTCCATAAAACTTAAAAAGTTGGTCTATTCCAATAAATTCACTGGGCAGGTCAATTGTTTTGCTATCCTAGACCTCTCAATAGAAAAGATATAATTGTACTTAATGTTCCATTTAAAAATATCAACACTATAATTCAAACATTTTTGAAGCATTCTTTGTGATTCTTCTACATAAACTACAAAAATATCCCTTGTACTTTGTAAATGTGCTTTCCTTCTCTCATTTCCTTTCTCCTTTTTATAAAACAAGGTATTTTTTCACTGGGAAAGGAAAATTTATTATACATATTTTTGTTACATTTGTGTCATTTTGTTACAAATTATTTTCTAGCCTTAAAACCATTACTCCAAGGTAAATCAAGCTTATTAAATTTTAATCTATTTAAATAATGTATTTACCACATAAGTGTAAGTTAAAAAAAAGCAAGGTGTAGAATAGTATACTATTTGGGTAAAAAGGCATTAAAGAAAAAATTTATTTGCTTGACTATTGATCTTTGGCAGGATACAAAAATAATACAGTTGGTTTCCTATGGGAATAATAAGTATCAAGGAAACAAGAGGGAGATTTTTTTTTTACTATGTAATCCTTTATTCTTTGAACTTTGAGCTATAAAAGTGTATTATTTTTCAAAATATTAGATAAATACGCACCTTAGAAAACGTTCATACAGATGGCCAGAAGCAACTGAAAAAATGTTTAAGACATCATTTTTTTGATCATCTTCATGCAACCTTCTTGTGAAACTTGAAATAAAAATATAATATAGTTTATTAATATTATTTATGTACCTAAATAAAGCACTAAATTAGATTAACAACAAAACAGGAATACCTTTCAAAATGAAAATTAAGCTTAAGCAAGCTTTTTATTTTTTGGAGACAGTCTCCCTATGTAGCCCAGACTAACCTGGAACTTAGACATCTACCTGCCTCAGCCTCACCAGATGTGCCCCACCACACATGGCTTAAACAAAATTCCTATCCTAGCAGTTATGAGTTACTGTCACATGTGTGACAGTATCAGTTGAAGTTTCCTGAGATCTTATTTATAGCATGGAATGCAATTATACTGTCTCTAGTTTAGTGTGGTAGCATCTTTGAATTCTTAAGAGTTGCCAAAGTTGTCTTGAGGACCAAGAATCAGTTACAGCTTACCATATTCACATCTAGTATATTAAAACTTTAGGCAGGTCAGTAATGAGGAAAGAAACAGAACCAGAACTGTGTAACTGTAGTGCGGCAAGGATTTGTATGGTAATAAGAGTAGGTCTGTTAATGAGGTTCTCAAACACTGACTTACTATTTTTAAAATTCTTACAATTTAGAGTTTCTCTAATCAGGTATATTTGCCACTCCATAAAGGCTTTGTACTAGGTGACGTCCTTGAGTTTTTTCCTTGAGCCTTTGTTCCTTGAGGAACAAAGAGGCCAGGGAGCCATCATTAGCTGGTTCACATCATGGAAGTTTAATCAGCGACATGTCAGTTTTACTACTGCCTGGACCCAGACCAGCCCTCTCTTTTTTGTGTTTGTCATGGAAAATGAATGAATCTTTGATTTGGGGTATTTATAATGTGTGTAATTTCTTCTTTTTCTTCCAATTAAAGAATTAAAATGAAATAATTAAAATCTTATTTTTATATAAGCAGATATTTACAATGATAACTTAAAATCAATATGGAATATATTTTCAAAAGTACAATTTGCTATGACAGAAATAATTTTCAAGTCTTTATTGTAATCCTCTGAGTAAGAAAAACATTTGATTTATGGGATAGTAACTTGATTCTTTCTACCAAACAAGGAGTCAGTTATGTATTCCAGGAATGGAGGAAAAGGTATAAAGGAGAATGATGGAGGGGGTGAATTCGAATATGATATACTGTAATAACTTTTATAAATGTCACAATATACCTCCAGTAGAGCAATAATAAAAAAAGAAGTCAATTACAGGAAAAGGAGCATAAACTGCTCCAAATTCCAGAAGACAGGAGTGGTTCTGACTGCTATAACAAAACCTGTTTAGCTTGTTGCATCTATTTGGCCTAAAGTTTATCTATTTCTTTTCTTCAATCAAAATGATCAATGGCTTGCCATCATAATTATTCAAATTAAGTTCAGATTTCCAAAGTGAACTTTCAGAGTTCTGTACAACTTGCATCTATAGCAGCCAGACTTTGATCTTGCTTATCTAATATTCTTTCCCCATCTAGTAACGATGGGTTGGTATTTTGGGGGGATCATTCCTTCTCCAGTTTCATTCTGTGAGGTTTAGACGGGACAGGCTTTCTCTCAGACTCTAGAGGAATGCGTATAACCCATGCATGCTCATTAAGAGACACAGTGATCCACTCAGTTTGGGACACATGGCTACCACTGGACCAATGGGTCAGCCAGGGAACTTTTGATGGTATTATTTGAAAAGAGGCAACTTTTTCCTACTGAAGATGATAAATTTTATTGTTAGAAGCCTACCTGCAATGAAGAGTAGAATGTGTAGAACTAAGACAGGCAGAAAGACAATTTTTATACAACATCACCTGAATGCCCAAAGGCAGGTATACTCTTTGATTCCTTACGTATGTGAGTCAAAACTTGCCCCCACACCCTTGGTGCCAGGAATCGAATCAGGGCTTCATGCATGCTAGGCAAGCACTCTACTACTGAGCTACATCTTCAGCTCTACCACTTTGATTTTTTAATTAACAACACAACGTATAAATTACTTATACAATCATCATTATAGCCAAGCTGGGCTATGTTCTGTTCTCTGAGGAACACATCCAGACTTTTTTTGCCTTCCTATAACCAGGTACCTTCATTCCACCTCCAGCTTTTGATGCTGTCTTTCCTTTGAAACAGATCTTAGCCATAGACTCCTCCAATAAGTCTTCTCTGAGGTTCCTCCTAACTGAATATATTCTTTTCCTCCTTTGACTTGTAGGAAACTATTTTCAGCTGTCTCAGAGCTTCAGTTTCCTATCTTGTATTATTAACATTTATGTATCTACTGTGTTTACTTGGATTTTTTACCATCTGCAGGGCTCCCATTTAGTACTCTTCATCAGCCTAGTTGTGTTTTAAAATATTCACCAGTGGTTACCTTTTAATGGAATCCCACATTCCTTTTCTTTCATATTTATCAGTAAGGATATCTTCCTTAACTTTGTCTGGTTTTTTCTGAACCTACATAATATAAAGACAAAATTCAGAATTTTTCAGCTTTAAATATTATGCTGCTTGGGTAGAAAGTATAACATATTAGGCAAGATTACCCTTGGAAATCTAAGAAAATTAGGTACAGCAAACAAATCTAGGTGCTATCTCAGTACAATGTTACAGATTAAACCTGATCTTTACTTATCAATTCAGGCTCTTGTTTTAAGTTCCTCAGGTGGTTACTTCCATACTGATAGTGTGCTTACACCTGGGTTTGCTATTTTATCAGCTTTAGATATTATCTACAATTATTTCTGGGTTCATAGGATTTAGACATTTTTCATTCTTTATAATGATAGATGGGTAGCTCACTTAAGTTAGTCCTTTTTCTCTTTGTCTTGGAAGTTTTGGTAGTAATATCTTTATCTTCAGTTATTCTACTGGGTACTCTTCTGTAACTTTAAATAATATTCAAATCTCTTTTTATTCTACCTCCAACATTTTCTCCTGTATACTCTTTATAAGAATACTAATCCTTGAGCCTCCCAACTGCCATCAATTAAACCTTTACTTTAGAATTTGTAAATACAGATAACATTTACACTTGTTAGGTAAACATAATTGTGTATTTTGCATTCTGTGTGGTGATTCTAAAACTTGAAAGTCAGTAAACAGTGCTCATTTGACAATGTAAATACTACATTCTCAAGTGTTCTAAAGGCGACTTAAAATCATATTTCTTCTTAAAGTTACAAGAAGACAACAACTGTGCCAACCATAGGAGTCTCTTGCTATGAGTTCAGATCAACTCTCCTTTCTTCTATTCCACCAACAGGAAGAATTTTTTTCTTGTAATTTTGTTATCTCTGTTTTTCTTATACTTTACCATACTCCTAGTATTTTCTAACTGTCTGGAATTCCATCTTTTTGAAGGCATTTTTGTTGATGCTCACAACTAGTTGCCTGTTTTTCTCTAGGTGTATTTCATTCGTTTATAGTAAGTTTCCCCATTTCTTGAACTACCTGTCTTTTTTCTTAGTCTTCATCATAATTGTGCTAGCAAACATCTTCAAGAAAGGGTATGGTATTAAAATAATGTTATATCTTCAACACTTGTGAAAACAATTTTATTTTGCTTCCTATTTGACTATGACTTGGACATACAGAATCTTAGGCCTGAAGTATTTCTGAGAACATGGCAGGCTTTGTTTTGCTATAGTTTAGCAGTGGTTTACAAATGCCAAGACTGTTGCTAGTGTCATTCTACTACAGTGACCTGCCTTTTCTCCTCAGTAGCTCTTAGAATTGTTTTCATTTACTCTTCTTGGTAGTTTATGGACTCTTTTTTTGGGGGAAGTGGGGGATACTGGGGTTTGAATTCAGGGCCTCACACTTGCTAGTGAGGTACTCTAAAATTTGAGCCATGCCCTCAATCTTTTCTTGCTTTAGTTATTTTTTTTACATAGGGTCTCATGTTTTTGCCTGGGGCCAGCCTTGGACTATGATACTCCTACCTATTCCTTGCACAAAACCGGGACCATAACCACTATACCTAGCTTTTGGTTGAGGTGGGTAATCACTAAGTTCTTGTCCTGGCTGGCCTCAAACTGCAATCCTCCTGATTCCCACCTCCTGAGTAGCTGGGATTACAGGAATGAGCCACTGCACTCAATCAATTTTCCCCCTTTTAAGCATTGTGAACCTAAGTAAAAAGACTATTGACATTAACATTTTTTCTCTCTCTTTAGCTTTTGGATACTTTCTTTTCTCTATTTTCTCTGTTCATTCTTCTGGAATTCTTCTTAGTGGGCTATTGGAGTTAATGGGCTGATCCTCTCTATGTTACTTCTCTTTTCTGCTCTCAATTTTCTTTTTGCTGTAATTCTGTGAGACGGTTAGGAGATCAAATTGTGTTCTTAAAAAACACCTGAAAGCTGGAGGAGTGGCTCAAGTGGTAGAGCACCTGCCTAGCAAGCATAAGGCCCTGAGTTTAAGCCTCAGTACCACCCCAAAAATAAATAAATAATGCACCACACACAAAACAAAAAAACAAAAAAAACACCTGAAGGTACGGCTAAGCTGCAGAATGTTTGTAGCTGATATCTTTCAGCAATTCATGAAAACTCCTAGTCATTTATTGCTTCAAGTTTTACCTGTACTAATTCTTTTTTCATCATGTCTGGAACTCCATTTAAAATGATTTTATTTATTCAACAAGTACTCATGAAGCGCTTTACAAATCTACAATGTCTCATTTTTATAACTGTCCTATGAGGTAACTTCTATTATTGAATTCATTTTATAAACCAAGGAAGATGAGACAAAAGCAGTTCAATCATGGGTGCAAGGTCAGGCATGGAATGAGCAGCAGAGTCAGTGCAAAACCCGTTCCTACTGTCTTAACACTTTCTCACTCTATTCTCTATGCTTATCATACATTGGGCTGTATTTTTCTTTTTCCCTATGTATTGTATTTAGGATAATTGTTACTATCCTCCAACTTCCTAGTTCTCTGCACAGGAATGAATGTAAAAGCTAGTCTGAATTCTTAATTTTGGTATTGTATGGTGCAGATGAAAAGGTTCCACTGGAAAAAAATGCCCAGAATGACCTTCACCCACTCCAAAGCAAGAAGCACTTTTTATAGTTCCTACTTTCTGTAATTATTATCAAGCACAATTTTTATTTAGACACAGTAAGTGAAACTGTTTCAGTGTCTATATCAAGAATTCTAGTATCTGGAATCTTTGTGCATCTATGTTCTGATCTTTCTGCTGGTTCTCTTTGTTTATGTGCTTATTTTGACCATATGCTGGCCTCTACACTTGAAAAATATGATTTGCAGTTTAGGCTGTTGTAGTCTTATTCCAGATATTTATGGATGTTTCTACCAGATATAACCTATCTGTAAGTGTTTTAGTACCAATTAAAAATTAAGAATTCCCTGGATTATGTTGGTGACACAAATTTGGGCTAAAAGATTATGTGGGATAATTTACTATGTTTCATCTTACCCTAAAGAGGGGACCTTCTAATAAATTATTCACTTTTTGTGGGTCCTGGGTTTTAATTTCTATCCCCAACACTCAGCAAATTAAATAAAAATGACAGTTCAGGTATGCAAGGGTGGACAAACATTCCCAGAGAATAGCAGCTTTCTTGGGCCAAAGAACCTTCTGTTTGCTTACTCTTAATTTGCTTATGCTTAATTTCCCTTTATTTTTGTTTTGACATTTCCATATTACTTCATTATTTAAGATCTTCAGTACATTTAAGATTTAAACCTTTTATCTAACATTTTTACTAGTTTTAAGCAGGAGGGTTGGTCCAATAGAAGATCTATACCAGGCATTAAAAATTCCTTTTTGTTTTTCTTTGTGGTACTGGGGTTTGAACTCAGGACCCACACCTGAGCCACTCCACTAGCCCTATTTTTGTGATGGGGTTTTTAAGATAGGGTCTCAAGAACTATTTGTCTGGGGCTGGGTTTGAACTGTGATCCTCCTGATCTCTGCCTCCTGAGTAGCTAGAATTATAGGTGTGAGCCACTGCACCTGGCTTAAAAATTCCTTTTCTAATAGAAAACAAGAAATGAAAAGTAACAGAACAAAACAAGAAAAGAAAGAAAAATTCCTATTCTCTCTCTTCACGACTAGTTGCTCCACCCAAGCTCTTGACTCATCTCCAGCTGATCTGTAACGCTATCTGGCTGCAGTAGATGTAGCAGTGTAGCAAAACCTTAAAGAACAAGTCATTCATTCTCTTTTATCTTCCAGCTCAGCTTTCTATTCATGACCTTAATATGTTCCTTCCTTTTACTGTAAGGGTTCCCAGATAACATTTTAGATAGTAAAATTATAAAATCTGTTGTAAAATAAAGATTAAGGAAAAAAAGATACTTGTTAACATGAAGATTAAAGCTTATTAAAAACTTCAGCATCGGGCTGGGGCTGTAGCTCAGTGGTTTAGTGTTTGCCTAGCATCACGAGACCCTGGGTTCCAACTCCAGTGCCATGGAAAACAATAACAACAACAAACCTTCAGTGTCACACACCTGTACTTTCAGTGTCTTGCTCTTGAAGTTGTTTAATACAACAATGACATCTCCTAGATCTGACTGAGAGTCAGTTCCTTCATGCCTAAAGCAGAAAAACATAAAATATTTATTCTTAACCCAAGAACATATAATTTTGATTATAAACAATTTCTTAATGAAATAAGTACAATATCATTTGTGTATATATATTTGCTATTTCTGTAAGTTGATTAAGATATACATTATATTTAAAACAATTATCCAATAACTAAAGTTTAGTATTAATTAAAATTATATAAAAGTAACTCATTAAATTTGGTATTTCTAATCACTCAGAAAGTTTAAATTATTGCTTATCTTTGTTGTTATATACCAGAGCTATGACAAAACTCAGATCTTTCATATCTCTGATATGTTCAGTGACAATTAAAATGTGAAACATTTTCAAGACTTAAAAGTTTTTATATATCAAAGGAATTCTATACTGTTAAACAACTTTTCAATATCCACCAAGTATTTTTAAATGCTAAAACTTGAAGGGCATTGTTAAATTCATGAGACTGAAAATGTGCCTATGATGTCCATCTGTTTCACTTAAACATTTCTATTTTATACTAAGAACAATAATTTTGTCAAAGGGGAAGAAATCTGAAGTCAAATAATAGCTGCTTTTGAGTTCAGTCATACTTACGACATACATCGTAACATTTTTCCAAAGTAAATACCTGGGGATCCTGGCATTACAATGACTACCACATGCCTCTGACTCCCTTTTACTCCCAGTTCTCCAGCTGAGGTAGGTAAAGCGGAAGGCTGCATGCTGTGAAACAATGTTTTATAGAACAACAGAGAGGGCTCCAACTTATATAGCACAAATGCCAAATTTCCTAAAAGTTTTCAAGCACTTCTAGTCAAGCACTGCTCAATGCATCATTGAAGTTAGCCATCTCGTTCACAGTCCACTGAGACCAGGAGAGAGCTAGTGAGCATAACACTAACAGTCAGATTCATTCAAGTTCTAAGGCAAACCACCTCCCCTTCCCATGAGGCAGCAGAGGGGTGTGATGATGAGCTCTTATTCTACTCCAGGCACTATTTTAAGTATTTATGGATGCTGTCTCATTTAATCCACTCAGCCATCCTCTAATGAGGTACAACTACCATCCTAGATTGAAAACAGAGCAAGTATAGGGGGGTCTAGCTTCCCCAAGGCACTATCAAACTATCAGCTATGCTAAACAATAAAAACCTAGACACAGGAGGAAAGTCAAGAGACTAAGTGAAGAGAACAAGCTTGGCATTCAGAGGAAACAGACTTCACTGACAAGGAATTAAGGCAGGAGAAAGGGGGAACATTCAAATAATCTCAATGAGAGTTGAGACGCTATTATGTTACAGTAAAAGGCATTTAATTAAAAATGAAAGAATTTACCAGATGTCAGAAAAAATTATCTTAAAAACAATCATGTTTTTCCTATAATTCTGAACACAAAATTTTAAACTTTTAGAGGGAAAAAAATACTGAATGGCAGAGGACAGTGATAAAATCTTGTTTCAAGTATTCTGAAGAAAGTAATAATGCTGTTACATTCAATACTTAGGAAAACTTCAGTTCACATGTAAATACACAGATAATTTCAGGCCTTGGAGGATGAAGAGCATGTGAGGAAAGGCAGCACAGATTATGAGAAGACAGGCAACATCTTACCATCCAGGAGAAACTGCACGAGTCAGAAAGCCACTTTTGGTGGTTGTTCCTAGATACTTTTACAGCTGTGATCTGGCCGATAACCAGATTCTTAGAACTTAGAAGCAAGTGGGAACAATGTGGTAATGTTTGGCTAGTTTCTTTTGCCAAGCACAGTCACAAACACATGAGGTTTTCTACAACAGTGTTCAGCGTGCATGCTCTCAGCTTGCTGGGAACTGAGAACTTGATGATGTACTGGTACTAGCAGCTTATTTTCTTGCTCTTTCAGTCATGGAAGAGGCAGCAGCTCTTTTTGGTTGGTAGGTTCCTCAGCTTTTTCCTACTAGTCATTCCTGGGAGCCAGCCCTCCTGGAGGGGTCCTTCAACCCTTCCTAATACAATGTACAAGCATCCAGTTCCTTTTTATTAACACCTCTGATACATGGGAAGTCAGTCATCAGCTACAGTTTGAATGGCTGCCCCATGTAAAACTCACTTTGAAACTTAATTGCCATTGTGACAGTATTAAGAGATAAGAGCCCAGTATGAGGTGATTAGGTTATGAGGACTCCATTCACTTGAATGGAATTGATGTTAGTATGAAATAGTGAGTTTAGTCCTGCCAACTTATATCTTTTGTCATGGGATGACAATGGCCCTCACCAGATGCTCATCAGCCTGTAGAGCTGTGAACCAATAAATTTCTGTTCATTATAAATTACCCAGTCTCAGGTATTCTGCTATAACTGCAAAAATGTACTAAGACACCATCTGAATAAAAAAATGAATGTGAAAAGTAAAAGACACATAACAAAAACTATGATCCATAATGAACCTCGTAAAATTTACACATAACTAATAGATATGATGGTGAAGAACTACTAACAGACAAGACAATGAGTAACCACACATTCCCTGTATCACCATTACATGTAGACTGCCCCTCAGAGAGAATATGCATATAAAAATGAGAGGACCTTCAGAGAGGAGTCTATGTGAGATGAAGCCTGAAGAGCTTCTTTGCAGAAAGCAGTTGCTAGGCTGTGAGTAATGTGAAGAGTGTTACTTTTTTTTTTTTGTTTTGTTTTTTTCCGAGACAGGGTCATGTTATGTAGCCCAGATTGGCCTTGAACTCACTATTCTGCCTCAGTCTCTCAAGTGCTGGAAGTACGCATGCATTACCAAGTTGGCTCAAGTGTTACTTTCTAATAATAAATTCAGTAAATTAGCTATTTTAAAGAGAAAACAGTCTACAATGTATATTCTGAAGCTGGAACACCCAGAGGATTCGATTTGATGTCTGAAGAGGATTGATTTTACTGCTTTGATCAAGGAGGCCAGGAGAATACTTACTGCCTTTGTGACTGGCCTTGACTCCTAGAGTTTGTTGGAAAAGTGATGTGTAGGTATTTTCTACAGATTAGGCAATAGGAGAGACATTTGATTTTTTTATTACCATGCATTGTGCCAATAAGGCAACCTGGAGTTATGATGAGACCTCAGCAAAAACATTCTGCTAATACAGCACTGGAAGCCCAGACACTAAGGTGGTGTTAGAAGCAGCCACCTGGAGTAGAGATGACAACAGGGACCACAGAACTAAAGGAATGTCAGGCGAGCAACAGAGAGCTTCTCAGCATCCACAGAAGCACGCTGCACAGCATTAACCACAACCAGGGCCAGAGAACACAGCTTAACAGCAGATGGGCTCAAGCAGCTATGGAGAAAGAAGAGAAAGCCTTGTGGGAAATCTCTCCTGCTTCCTGTCTCAAACACAGGAAAAGCAGTTCAGTCTCAAAGGTACTGAACTAAAATACACAAATATAAATTTGACAGAAAAAAATTCCTGAAGATTTCCAGTGAAAAGCCGAGCATAATAACTTAGCACAGAATAATGCACAGATGATCTTCATTTAAAGATTACAAAACACTGACACAAGTGAGGAGTATATCTAACAAATGGAAAAGCACCTTTAAAGATGGCAAATAATTTAGTCATGGCTTTAAAACCAGACTTAGAAAACCAGGTGAGAATTATTTTATATTAGTTTTCAGCATGTTTGAGGAATATTTTTTTTTATTTTTAATATTTTATTTTTTTATTTTTATTGTTTTATTATTCATATTTATTTTTTTTCTTAAACATAAAATATCTTAGAACTAGGCATAAATTGGGATAAACAGAACATCCACTTTTCTCATATTTTATGTTGATCAGGTTTTCATTTACTGACACTTTAGTTTCAAAGAATATTTTATTACAGAGTAGTAGTATTTGCATTTTTTCCATTCTGGATATGTAATGACATATTAACCACAAATGGAATTAAGTAAATTATGGTTTTGTTGTTTCTAATACAAATAAATTTGAAATTATTTTATTGCCAAAAGTTATTTAACTATGAATGAAAAAAACTTAGTTTTCCATCAGCAGAGTCTATTTTTCTCCCAAAAACATCCATTTATAGACTGAAGATTATAGAAATTGGTAAAGAAGACAAAATACGACCTAGTAAAATATATCATTTTTACATAATACATGTGCTTCCTCTAACTGTAATTTGCAAAGAAGGAATCAGTGGGGAGAAGGTGGACATTTTTTCCATAGTGACACATTCTAATCTATGATGATTACCTCCCTGAGTCCTTACCAAGCCCCTATAAGGGCAGGAGGATTATCCCTTTTTGAAATCAAGAAATGAAGATTCCAAAACATAAAGAAACTTATGCAAGATCATACAGTTGGTTGGTTGTTCAAAAGGGATTTGAATAGCAGTTTAGCTAATTCCAAAGGCTTTCACTTTGCTTAAAAAAACAATAGCGAAACAGATACAGATGCAGAAAAGCTGAGATTCTGGCAATGTAGTCTGCATTGGATCAAAGAAACTGAATCAAAACATGAACAGTTCCTGAAATTATGCCTTTAAAGCATGGCTTCTATAAGGGTAAATATAACTGTTACAGTTTATTTTGCTTATTTTCCCCACTGTCATAGTATTATTTTATAGCATGTAGAATGTACAGTCATCATTTTCTTAACTGTCTTTTCCATTGGAATGGTAGGGATTGTGTACCGTTCATCTATTTATCTCCAATATTTCCCCTTATTTTTCTTGACTCCTCAAGTGATTTTTTTCCTCATTAGTACTTGAATTATCTGGCATTTTATAATTTGTGAAAGGGATCTTATTGTATATACTTTTTATGTTTCATTTTTTTGCTCAGTAAAGCGATTCTGAGATTCATCTGTTTAATTATGTGCATCAGTGTAGTTGGTTCCTTTCATTGCTGAGTAGTATTCTGTTGTAAGACTAGATCACATTTTAGTTATTTCTTTTTTCTCTTGGGTAAATACCTATGAGTGAAATGCTCAGATCATACAGGTTGTGTCCATTTAACACTTCAAGGACCTGCTGAACTCTCAAAGTGGTTGCAGCATTATACAGTCCCACTGGTAGTAAAAGACAGCTCCTGTTGCTTCCTGTCTCATCACACTAAGTACTGTCAGTCTTTTTATAAGGCTGGGCATTTTAACAGATACACGGCATAGCTCAATGTGATTTTAATGTACATTTTCATAATGGCTAAACAGCAAGCACTCTTTTATATGCTTATTTGCTTTCCATATCTTTGGTAAAGTGTCTGTTCCAATACTTTTGCACATATTTTATCAGGCTATTTGTCTTCTTGTTGAATTTTGATAGTTCTTTATATATTCCATATGAAAATTGTTGGCCTTAGGTTTTGCAAAAATTTTCTCCCAATCTGTGGCTTGTCTTTTCATTCCTTTTCTAGTCATGTACACATAACAGTCTTAGTGTGAGCATTCACACATTCTACAGTAGAAATGACGTTTGCTTGATGAAGGGCTGAGATCCTGTTGGGATATATGTCATAATATATGATATGTGTACTATACTAACTTTGCAAATCTGAGAAAACCTAAATTCTAAAACACATATAGCACAAAGAATTTTAGATGAGAGATTTACATGATCCTCTTCTTTCTGGAATGTTGTACTTACAACATTATTATTATGACAAATAACTTCCTATTAATTCTTCAACACTCCCTTGCGGTACTACCTCATCATTCATGCCAACACAGACTTCCCTCAACTAACCTTCCTATCAAAGAACAAAGCATTCCCAGCTTTGTGTGCATAAACCATTAAATGGATATCTTTAATGAAATTATGAGCAAGGCAAAGTATTAGGTGAAGGTGAAAGAGTGGTGAAAAACAGATTCAACAGCCCCTACTTCTGTTATCTTTTTTATGCACGATTCATGTGTGTTCAGTAACTATTTATTGAAATAAATGAAATTTAGAAATATTAATGGTACAAAAAGATTTTTATCAGGCTTGGCAAAGCATGGCTGGGAGTCAAAATAAGTTGTTTATTTTCGTATGGCCCCTGGGCTAAAAACGGTTTTTACGTTTTAAAATGGTTGTTAAAAAGGGGAAGAATATAGGCAGAGACTATATGCATCCTCAAACAAACATTAAATATTTACTTTTAATATTTACTTCTTATAGAAAATGTATAATGATCCCTCTTTTTTTACTATGGCTCACTGATGAAAAGGAAAATTTCTGTGAAAAAAAAAAAAAAAAACCAACTTTTTTTTCCCTTCCCCCTGAGATACTGTGGATTGAACTCAGGGCCTATACGTACTGTACCATTGAACCACGACCCCAATCCTTTTGCTTTTAGTTTGTTTTTCAGATAGGGTCTCATGTTTTTGCCAGGGCCAGCCTTGAACCAATGATCCTACTACCTTCGCCTCCTGAGAAGCTGGGATACAGGCATGCCTTACCATGCCAGGCTAACCAACTCTTATTTGTAAAAAATGAAAACCCAGTCACATAAGATATATTGTCATTAAATGATAAGTATATGAATTATGCTAATGCACAGAAGTCTACAGAAAATAGTAAAGGAGAATATAAAACAAGATACATTATGCACTCTTTCATATTTTTAAAGTAAAATGAAATAGAAGCAACTGTTAGTTTTATAAGTAGTATGTATTTTATAGTGATATTTGTTGTTTTTTTCAAATTGACAAATAGAAATTATATGGTTTTATCACAAAATGTTTTGAAATATGCATACATTGTATAAGAGTTAAGTTAATCTAATTGACATATATGTTATATCACATATTTTTGCTGGTGAAAACTCTTAAAATCTACTCTAAGTGACTTTCAAGAGTATAATACATTTTTATTAGCTACAGTCATCATGATGTACAATAGATCTCTTGAACACGTCCTTCCTAAATGGAATTTTGAATCAATTAACATCTCCCCAACTTCATCCTCCCCTGCTCCTGGTAATAGCCATTCTACTCTCTGCTCTACAGGTTAACTTTTTGAGATTCTACATATAAGATCAAGCAGTGATAGATGAACCAAGTTCATCTATGTTGTCACAAATGAGAGAACTTCCTTCTTAAAAGACTTTATTTTGTGCCTTTTTCAGTATTGTGTTTTCCTGATTATTTCTGATCCTTGTGGCTTTACCTTGATGCTTCAAATTTGAAGAAGTAGGAATTTATTCTAGCCTTTGAAGACTGGCTTTGTTTGGAAGAACCTTTACAGTCAGCCTACTCAGACATTCTGTGCAGGCTATGTGGCATGGCATGGTCTGCAGGACAGCTTGTGGTAGACCTGGAGCAGGCTGGTCTGATAACTGGGTCAGCAGGTGGAAGGGCTGGGTCCAGACCTGGATCCACAGAACCTGGCCTGGTGTCTGGGAACACAAGGGCTGGCCCTTGTGCTAGGTTAGTCCTGTAGAGCCTGGGTTTACAGTGGCTGACCAGGTGGCAGAATAGGCCTGAGATAAGCCTAGAGACAGGGTCTATGGGGACAATCCTTAGAGCCTGAGTCCATAGGGATAGGCCTGGGTCTAGGAGCTGCCCAGGAGCCCGAGTCTGTAAAGGTCAACCTGGCACCTTAGTTCATGGGGGTGAGCCTAACACTGGGGTGGTCCTACATCCTGGCTCTTTTGGAACCTTGGCCATAAGGACTGGCCTGATGTTTGGGCAGGTGTGTGACCCAGATTCTGGATCTAGATGAGTCAATCTTGTTCTGGGCTGGCCTAGAACCTGGGCTGGACCTGGAGTTGGGATAGCAGAGACTGGTCTGGTCTGATGCCAAGACAATCCTGAATCCTAGGGCAATGGAGCATTCTAGTACTGGTGGTAGTGTGGAGCCCTGGATTGTAGGGTCCAAGGTGGACCTACAGCCTGAGTCAATCAGAGCTGGTGGGCAGTGGGGTAGGTTTTACTGGGGTGGGCCTGGTTTTGGGGTCTATGGCAAAGTTCAGGGCTCACTTCCTATTCTCCCAAATGGAGGATCTCTATTTCCAACCTGTGCTGACAATAGTTGTGGGAAGGTGATACAGGTTACAAAAAACTGTCCTTACTACCTTCAATGCATCTTTTCTCATTTCTTTGCTACCCTTAGGTATTATAACATCTCACCTCATTTCTTTAGTCCTTATGAAGAATATTTTTGTACATGGATAGTTGTTTAAATTCTATGGGATACAAAGTACTGAAAAATCTTATTCAGACATTTCCCCGATATCTGGACCTAACCCAGTCTTGTTAACATTTTAATTCCTATTTTGATCATTTTGGTTATGTGATACTCAACTCTTATTCACATATGAAAATTTAAAAGTGGTTTGTATTACTTACCCAACTATTTGATAAATATCTTCAGATTTTCCTTGGCGTAATTTCAGTATCCAAGCACCTGGGTTTGCTTTTAACTGAAAATATCCCTTTTAAGATGAAGAAAAATAATTATTGAGTTACATTACCAATTGTTCATGAAGACTATACATGAATTATCCTGGAAAGCATTTACTAATTGTTCTATAAATGAATTCCAAGGAAGGAGATTTTTCAATAATTTATAAAAGCCTATTTGGACAGTATGAGTCTTCCCATTTTTGTTTTGGTTAATTTTCTTATTTAAGGATTCAATTTTTTCTGTGAGCTGTTCAGCAATAAAAGAATCAAGATGATTTCATCTCACTATTAGGAAAACTTAGGGATTTTCACCAAAAGGTTAAATATTATCAATTAAACATCTAGAATGCTTACAAGATTGGCCATCACTATTGTATCAACCATGACAGGCTTATTTTCTGTGCCCAGAGTGAACTGCAGACCTCGAGGAGGTTGTTCTGTTGTGGTATCAAAGCAGTGTCCTTCAAGTAAGAGATATTCCAGTTCATATTCTGCTGTAACAGCTCTCTCAATCTGTAGAGGGAACAGGTCATTGTTTTTAGTATTAGTAATCCTCTAATACAATAAATAAATAAGATTATTTTGTCTTTCTTTTATAGATGAGTAAACTGATTAGTTGAATTAATTTCAAGACAAAAGCTCATGAAGAATTTTTTTCTTTCTCATGACGAAAGCTTTCCCCCAATTCATGACATATGCACCAATATCACCATGCAGGAATGATGTGAGCAAGAATGAGCGTTCCATAACTTGGAGTATTCAAAAGTCTCTTTGAAACAGATTTAAATAGAATATTCCTCAAAAACTCTGCTTCAGTTTGCTGTTGCTGAGCAGCACCTATTCAAATGAAGTGAAGAAAAGCCAACTTATCAATGGTTAGTTTTATTGTAATTAAAAAAATTAATGTTAAGTATTTCATTGCAAACTGATGTAATTAACTTTTAAGAATTGATGTTAAAATTTATCTCTCCTTTTCTAAAGTGGAAAGAGGGAAAAACTGAAAATACCTACAAACAATATAAACATCAACACACTGATTTTTCCGTCATAATTTTTTCAGGAGCACAGCATGTGTTTCATTAAACATGGTTTTCTCAGCAAGTCCCTATGCATACATTTTTATACCTGAGAAAGGGCTTCATTATGCTGCCTCTGCGGCCCAGGCTGCCCCTGAACTTACCAATCTTCTGTCTCGGCCTCCCAGTAACGGAGCTACATGTGCATGCCACCATACTTGGCCTTGTGAACACCTCTTAAAGTGACTGAACATTCCACCTGCTTTCAAATTTTCTTACTGTAAATGTTATAATACATATCTCAAGTGACAGAGCTTTTTCTCTATCTGGACAGCATATGTAAGTATGAAGATAAATCCAATGGCAAATGATTTTTTTTAGAGTTTAGAAGTTTTATTAAGCAAATTAAAGACAGCAATAATATCTCTATGTAATTTTATGTTACATATGAGGTTTTATTTTTAAGTGTTTAGGATAGACTATTTTGAAATGTATAGTTGTTTTACCTTGACTGTAATTATCTGTAAAATAATTAGAGTTCTTGTATGCAAGCATTCCTTAGGTCCGTTATTCTTGTAATTATATGCTTTAAGAACAAGAAGTCCTGGGTGCTGGTGGCTCACACCTGTAATCCTACCTACTTGGTGGCTGAGATCGGTAGTATCACAATTCTAGGCCAGCCTGGGAAAATATTTCACAAAATTCCATCTCTAAAACAACCACGGCAGGGCTGGTGGAGTGGCTCAAGTGGTAGAGTGCCTGCCTAGCCAGTGTAAGTGTACAGTGTACTGAGTTTGATCCCCAGTATCACAAAAATAAATAAAATAAAATAATCTCTGCAAAATGGACTGAAGGCATGACTCAAGTGGTAGAATGCCTGCTTTGCAAGTGTGAAGCCTTGAATTCAAACCCCAGTCTCCCCCCACCAAAGAAAAAAACCCAAGAAGTAACTTTGTAGATTCTGAATTAGTTGTTTAATTATCACTATTCTAGTGATGAACTTCAGATACTGGAAATGTATTCTCTGGATACAGCAATTTGCTTGAATGAAAGATTTTCATGGAGAGACTCTGAATATGAAAATGCTAAACATTAAGAAAGATTGGAGAGATCATCTAGTTCAACCATCTGACTTTCATACAAGAAAATTACCATAAAGTAACTGTGAATAAACCTTAATGATTTTTAAAAAATTTATGAATTAGATATCAGGGCAGAAAGAAATCTATTTAATATCTTTTTTGTTTTAGAATATCCTAATGTGAAAATTTCACTTGTTTTTACACATTTGCTTAACAGACTTAAATTCCTTTGACTTAATTCAAATTACAATACCAAAACTAGCCAGTTCCTTTTCAAAGAGCTTTTTCTAGTGAGTAAATCCAATCGTCTCACTTTTAGCTTTCCTGTAACCACTTCTGTTACTTTTGATTACAGCATTAAAGCTGGTTGTACAATAAAACCCCTGTAGTTACAATCACGTGAAGAAAGTCCTTCTGAGGGAAAATTTTTCTAGCTCAAGTTTTTCCCCATTTGTATAATGTTTGGAAATTAGTTGTGCCAAGGAGTATTTGTACAAGCTAGTGTACAGTGACAAATCTCTCATCTTGGTCTCATTTTTGCCAGGATGTACTTCTTCCCTTTACCTAAATTTCCTTTCTATGCTGGTAAATAACTTTACCCATAATTTCCTGCTTGTCTAGGATAGTAACAGAGAATACTATGAGTATGACAGCATATAATAGAAAAGAAGAGCATGGAAGGCAGTGAACTTTTTTAGGTGCTATTTTCTACATTTCTCTTTACTCACCTCATCTATTAAGACACAGGGAATTCCTCTTTATTTAAGTCTCCTAACTTTGTTAAAAGCACTGCTCATCTGAAGTTTTAAAAAAGATACAATGAGATGTGCCCCTTACTACTCAAAGTGTTTGTTTAATGATCCTCTACTAATTGTTCAATAGCTGCTAAAATGTTCACCAGCAGGCTTCACTTTCATTTCTCAGCTGGATCAATTTTCCCGCTACAGACTTTTCACACTTTGGGCCGGAGTCTTTACACACTTATCCTACCAACACACATTGTTGAACTGTCTTCATGTAAATCCAATAGACTGCTAAGAGATCTCACTGGCCATGGAGATTTTGAATTTTTTTTTTTTTTTTTACTTCTTGCAAGTTTACTTGTAAACTTTGCCTCATAGGTTTTATTATTTTGCTCCCTATTGTCCACCTACTTTTGAAGGACTGGTTTCAGATGATGGCTATGACTGAATTTTAGCTTTGTTTGTGTGTAAGAGGGAAGTGGGGGAGGTGGGAGAGAGGTGGTCAGGTTGAGGGTACAGGTGAGTATGTTGGAGGGAAAAGATTTAGGTAAAAGGTAACACATGAGAAGCATAAGAAACAAGTATTATCAACAGTTCTAAACAAATTATTACAGTTCAGTGTTTATACCACGCTCAAGACAATGGCTACATTCTAAATGACATGTCAAACAGAAGCTAGAATAGGTCTAAAGGAATATAATTGAGAAGTATTTTCTCCTTAATTTCTTAATTTCAACCATAGATAAGCTCTTCTAAAATGCTGTCTTTTGGGGAAAGGATAGGGACATTTGAACCCCTTTTCTCATTTTAAATTCAACATTTTGAAAGACTCAAGTGTATTTTCAAATATTCTCTTTTTCAGCTACAGGCTGAATGACAAGTGATGAGGAAGAGGTAGACATGTCAGTATTTTTTTTAAACAAGAGGCATGTTTGAGGTAATGGAAAGCAGTTATATTCAGCCTGTACTGTAACACTGAATTTTGCTTCCTATGTGCTAACCCTAATCTAGTTAAGACTGCTTTCTATGGCTGTGAGCCCTGAGTCACAAAAAGAGTTTGAATGAAACTTCCTCTTGGAGTTAAAAACTAAACTTAAAGGGCAAAGCAGGTACTGAATGATCCATCCCCGTATTTTCTGCATTGTTTATCTTAGGTCAGTCTTTGTGAGCTAGTGATGTGAGGTAATAAAAAAAGAAGGCATCTAGAACTTATAAATCTGTAGAAGCTGAATTTGGGAGTTAGGAACACTTAAAAATCAAAGAAATGATGGGATCAAGACCTAGAATCACAAAGAAGAATTTTCCGGTGAGTATCCACAGCTTGATTACACACTTGCTACAATACATGTAATAGCTGATAATAATCTGATTCATCTCTCTTTATATGACTTAGACAATAACTTACATCTTTTAAGTGAATATTATCAAGGTCACAGTTGCTCTGTACTATTTCAACCACCCAGCCTTCTGGAGTAATCATGTTGAGGGTTAGAAGGGGTGATTCAGGAATATCTAGGAATTTTGCGACCGGTCCTGGAGAAGGACTGTTATTAGTCTCTGACATCAGTTCTGGTTCCAGGACAAAACGGTAAAAGCTGTTAATAAAACAAAATTACTGTGACCAAATCAAAATTATTATTTCATTTGATAATATGAAATAATCAAATATTTTAAAATGGTTTAATAAATACAAATACAACATCTTAAACCAAAAAAGCTAAATATACCCTGTACTACAGAAGAGTTAATGTTCATAAACAACAGACAATGATTTTGTTAACACTATTTTCTAAGACTGTGAATTATACACTCTCATTATTTCTTAGATTAACCCTTTAACCTGTCTTTGATTTAGGCAGGTTCTAATAGTTTATGATCTATATAACTCACTGATACTTCTTCATATTTCACCATGGTCTATTTTTTGGCTACTTTATTAACTCTTATCACAAATAAGACAAATAATATGAAGAGAAATGATACCGAGAAAACAAATAAAATTCAAGTTGAAATTCTGGTACCAGTTTAAAAAGTTCAATTAAACAACAACAAAAGCTCAACTAAAAAGCAAACAGGATTGATTAAACACAACTGCTTAATGGAGCTTTTAGGCATTCCTGTCATTTTACTGTATTTCAGCCTTATCCCCTGATATCATCACACTACAAATTAGCTATATGTGATCAAGGCATCATTGTGCTGCAGCACTCAAGGCTCAGTGGTGGGGAGAGGTCTATGATGAGGCTCATCCAGTCCCTCAAGGCTATCAGGATGCAAGCTGCAAGAAGTCTATTTCTTGCTAGTCTCTGGCTGGAGATCGCCTTCAGTTACTTGCTCCAAGGGCACCTCAGCATTAAAGAAACATTCAAGAGCCACACAGAGAAGGCCAGCAAGACAAAAGTCACTGCCTTTTATAACTTAATTCTGGAAGAGACATTCCATCACTTCTGCCATATTCATAAGAAGCAAAGTTACTAGGTTCAGCCCCCTTTCCAGAAGGATTTATACAGAGCATGACTAACTGGTGGTGATAACTGGGAACAATTCATGTAGGCAGCCAGATTTAACAAGAGAAGAAAGGTGACAGGAAAAAACATAGTCATGAAGTAAATATACAAAAAAAGTAATCAGTACTGTCAAATGAGCATAAATGCCAAGGAAGAAGTATCCCACGAGTGTTGCCAATACCAATTTTCTTTGAGATTCATTAAAAATATTTCAGTAGTGAAGAAGAAATTGAAGCAAAACTTCAGTGGGAAGTTTATTGAATGAGAAATAAACAAAGCATGTATGACCATTCTTTCAAGGAGTTGAGATGAGAGAGTAAAGAAAAAGAAAAGTCAGTACCTTAGAGGACAGGAAATCTGGGAGCAGTTTTTATAAAATTGGATAATTTTATGGACTTGAGCAAATCAAAGAGAAAGGTTAAAGACACAGAACAGAAAATACATGTTGTTAATGACAAGGATCCAGGGTGAATAGAAAAGATGGAATCAAAATATGGAAGGAATATTCTCTTTAAAAAGGAGAGAAGAAATTCTTCCTCTACAACTTAGGAAGCTTGGGGAGATAGGGGAGAAAAAGTAGGCAGCAGAGGAACCTGCCCATTAGCTTTCTCAGCTGAGAAGAATGAAACAACATTTACTAAAAACAAAGGACTAAGAATAAACATATAAACTAGCCTGCTTGATATACACTACTGACTAAGACTGTTGAACAAGTGGTTTATAAAATAATACTTATATATACTCTGGAGACTATCTAGCACTTCAGGTCTCATTTCAGTTGTGAAGGTCATGTTCTTTCCTTCCCAACTGATTATGATTCCTTATATATTCAATAATCCCATTTTTCACAATACATTGCAAGTTTTGCAGAGATACTCTGAAGAGGATTCCTATTTCTGTGAACAAAGTTTTGTATGTATGGAAAGTCTTTTTTATAGGTGGCTAAAATATTTAAAACTTTTGTTCAGATTTAGAAAGGAATATGGTAAAAATTTAAATATAAAAGATAAATCAGAAGCATGAAAACTGAGTTTAAGGATAGAGCAAATGAATGAACCTAAAACTTTCATTTAAATATTTTAAAGCCAGGATGGTGTTAAATTCTTGTAATTCCAACTATTCAGGAGTCAAAGGTAAAAGCTTTGATCATGGGTCTGAGGCTGGCCCTGGACAAAAATGAAAGATCTTGTCTGAAAAATTACAGCAAAATGTGCTGGGGATGTCGCTCAAGTGGTAAAGCACCTGCCTAGCAAACACAAGGCCCTAAGTTCAAAGCTCAGTATCACAAAAAACATTCTACATTTTCCATTTTATTGCTTTTTAAGTAATAAAATAACATGCTTAAAATATCTGTTCAAGGCAGTAATGTACAGTATATCACTTAAAACAAATACAATTTAAAATATAAGGGATTAACTGAGTGCTACACACATACTCATATTTATCCATATTTTTATTAAGAATTATATAATTAAATGATATGGAGAATAGCACATTAGCAAATCTTTCAAAGCTATTATAGCCCGATAGTGTATATCCTTATTTTTTTTGCCCATAACATCTGAAAGATATTGAATATTCTTATAAGAGTGGTTCACGATGATAGTGATTCTGATCCAGGTAGAAGAGGAATGGTGTTTTTTTTTCCTCTTTTGATGATGATGCCATTTCAATAGAACCATATTAATGAGGAATATTTGTACATAATGATAAACATTTTCTGTATTATTGACAGATTATTCTTAACTAGTTACATATTAATGACCCCAAATAAACATAATGATATAATAGAAATCACTTTGAAATTCAGCTCTGAATAAGTATTGAAAATATAGATAAATAAAAAATGGGTTATCTTATTCCCCACTGATACATTTCTAAATAAGTATGCCTCCATCACATTTCTTAAAATATCTATGGATAAATATAAATCAGTATAAATTGTGCAATAAGAATGGATCTATTTATTGAGTTAGGTTATTTTAGTTTTAGATCAATTTTATATCAATTAAGGATAATAAACGGACCTTTGAAGCTGTATCAATAAAGTATTCAGTGAAAAAAAAAAAGCCAAGGTGAGTAAACAATAGCCCTCTTTTCCTTCAGCATTTGCAAATCTTTCAAAATAAAATTATGTCCACTCCAACTCACCTCTGTAAAGGGGCTTCTGAAAGCTTACCCCTACAGTTCATGAACAGTTTTATCTTCATGTTTATAATCTTGCCAAGTACCTATAAAAATGCCCATATTTGATTTTTAAATAATACTGACCAGTCATTGCATTAACACTTTACATTCATTATCTCATTTCATCCTCACAATACTCCTCCATTTCCTTTTATAGCTGAGTAACAGAGACACTAAATAATTTGCTCAAGGTCACAGTAAGTCATAGCAAATGTAAGATTTGAACTCAAACAATTGATTTCAGTGCTGCAGGGGTAAGCTGCCTGCTTCTTGCCTAAAGTGACTTTTTTTTTTCACAGTATATGAATTTCCTTAGTATTAAAAAACAAGTAAAATAATCACTACATTCTTGATCTGTAAACACAAAGTGTGGCTCTCAACATCGGCAACATTACCCCGATCTTTTAGAATTTTACTCGACATTTTAAGAGATATAAGAAGCTCTTGGCTACGTACAGACAAAATACTGTATTCTCTTTTCTTTTTTATTTCCTTGAAATAAATAAGGACTAGAACAAAAGTTAATGTTGATAGTCTCTTTATAGGCAGAATCCATGAGATATATCTTTACACTGGCAAAAGCTCATTAAAGATTTGAAAGCTATCAGGCAACAAAGGATATAAAGAGACAAGTGAAAAAAAAATACCTAACGTAAAGAACACAGGTCTGGTGAGGAATTAAAACATACAGACCAAGCGCTTGGGAGCTTTGTGTTTTAATTCTATTCTGTCACTCCTTACATTTGCCACTATGGAGGTCATTTAACCACTGTTATTCCCAAATGTTCAATGAAACAGCATCCATTTTTTCTAGTAATTTATTCTTTTATGAAGTAATAAAACGTACTCAAAATAAAGTATATACTATTATTACCAATGTTGTAAACCAGAATACAACTCTGCATTTTATCTTGCAGAATTCCATATTTCTTATTCTTAAATTCTACCTTTACATAAGTTTCACCTGTAAGTAGTGTCTTTTTTTTCTGAACTCTTGGGGAATTTGTATACTATTAGCTCCACTCCTTAAGATGATTACTGATTGCTGTGTTCTGAAGTATAATTTGAATAGCATATCTTAAGAAGTACAAATTCAAAGGTATACAAATGCTAAATGACTGGTGAAATCAACAATGGGATTAAGTTTGCTCTATTCTTATACTGAACAGACAGAATAGCAAAGTGTTCCCAAATTATGCCTATATTAATATACTTATAATAGACATTTATAATCATTTTTTCTAATGTGATTTGGTAGTACAAAGTAATTTATGAGGAAAACTGTAATATGAAATTTTTAATGAGTATAACAGTAACAATCAGGTGCTGGTGGCTCATGCCTATAATCCTAGCTATTTGGGAGGCTAAAATCAGGAGGATTGCAATTTGAGGCTAGCTCAGGTAAAGAGTTCACAAGACTCCCATCTCCAAAATAAACAGAGCAAAATGTACAGGAGGTGTGGCTCAAGTGGTAGAGAACCTGCTTTGCAAGTGTGAAGCCCTGAGTTTAAACCACAGTCCACCAAATGTATATATATATACATATATATATATATATATATATATATGCATTTACATATATATTTATGTGTATATACACATATATGTGTATGTACACACATACAGCATTGCTTAGCTTGACCATTTGTATTATTCATCACATTTAGTATTTATATTTTGCCTATTTCCAAAAATGGAACCAACTGTCAGAGGACAGATTTTACTTCTGTGAATTTTTAAAGTTTTTAAAGTGTGGCTTAAAAATACTTATTATTTCAAATAGGAGGAGACAAAAATTGTGAATATCACTTGAAAAATATACAGTTCTAATATAACTAGCTTATTCAAACATAACTCCTAAAAGCTAAGTTATGCTGTCTCCTAACATTCATCTTCTCTCTTTTTGTTTAGAGAGGATCTTACTATATAACACAAGCTGGTCTTGAACTCTCCATCCTCCTGCTCAGCCCAAAGTGATGAGATTATAGGCTTTCACCACCATGCCTGGATTCCCCTACTTTCTTAGTGGGAGAATTTTCAACTTTATGCAGGGTTTGTGGCCAAGGTTTCCAGCCTTCCTTGTCACCAAGTATAGTCAGTTAACTGAATACATTGCCAGTGAGCAAAGATAGGTTGGAGTATATCTAACTTTGGGGTGGTGCACTTGTTCTCTTCTTCCTGCTGGCAGTAATACAGCAACTTACACTTGACTGTTAGATGAGAGAAAGAAACTTGACTTTGGCCGGGCGCGGTGGCGCGCGCCTGTAGTCCTAGCTACTTGGGAGGCTGACGCAGTAGGATTGCTTGAGTCCAGGAGTTCTGGGCTGCAGTGCGCTATGTCGATCGGGTGTTCGCACTAAGTTCGGCATCAATATGGTGACCTCCCGGGAGCAGGGGACCACCAGGTTGCCTAAGGAGGGGTGAACCGGCCCAGGTCGGAAACTTGACTTTGTTGAAGGCACAATTATTTTGGCCTTTGTTATAGTAGCAAAGTCTACTGACTACAACCCCTATGGTTCCTCCTTCCCTCAGCTTTGTGTATTTGGCTAACTACTCACTACATTTTAAGTGTCACTTAAGTATAAGCATCATTTTCTCTGAAAGTCCTCCTTCACAATGTGGGGAATATACCTATACCCATTTGCTCATGGTAGCACAGCAATATACCAAACACTATGTGACTTAAACTATAGACACTTATTTTCTCACAGTTCTAGAGGCTGGGAAGTCCAATATCAAGGTTCTGGCAGATTTGGCTTCTAGTGAGAGCTCTCTTCTTGGTTTGTAGGCAACTATCAGGTCACTGTGCTCAAGGAGAGTGGGGAGAAAGGGAGAGAGAAGAGAAGGGAGACTGGGGAAAGGAAGAGAAAGGGAGACACGGAGCGGGGCGAGAAAGAGCAAGAGCTCTCCCTTTATTTTTATAACTGAAAGGATGAGGGTTCTACTCTTATGATCTCATTTACCTCTTGAAGACCTGTTTCACATAATAATCATATTGGGGGTTAGGATTTGAAATTCATTGAAACGTACTTCACATGCTGAAATACAAATTTTTTGAGGGGACACAGTTCACCTGAAGAATATCTAACCTCAATAACACACTGAATATAATAAAGCACAAATATTTGGTTATACTTGAGAAGATAAGTTTCACAACAAAAATATTCAGTCTGATTTTATATTATCTTACAACCAGTAAGTGTGCCATCTTCTGTGCCTCTCTTGTCAACGGATCAACAATAGCAATGACATCAAAGAACTCGTCACTCTCTTGAGGATTTATCTTTACAATGCTAGGAAAATTAAAATAAGCAAGATGAAAGGTGAGTTAAGTTTATAAAAACAGACCACTGATAGTAATCTTAGCTATGTATGTTCTCACGAATTGCTTTCTTTCTTACTAGATTAGGAAAGTCTACGTAATTTCACTCAAGCAAATGTAAATTTCAAAGTCTATGGTCAACAAATTGTAAAGCTGGAAAGAATTCAAGAAAATGAAAGAGTTTTACAAAGAAGTAATTAGAAAAACCCTTAAAGAACAATATTATTATAAAAAAAATTCTCATAGCTATAGGCCCTCCAGATTCTCATGGATAATATAATGAAAAAAAATGAAGCCAAAATGTTTTTGTGTTAGTTGAATATACTTCCTTAGATTTGAGAATAAAAACCATTCAATACTTTAAGTTTTGTATTACATAAAACCAACATATTGTAATGGAAGTTCAGGAAGTCAGACTTACTGTCATTCTATTTTGATCCCAGTCTTCCTCTCTTCAACTCCTTTCCTCTGTCCTTTTCATTCTGCCTTTCATTTATCTAGGTTCTAAATTAAAAGATGGACTTTGCCTAGGTGCAGTGACTCACACCTGTAATCCCAGCTACTTAGGAAGTGCAGATGACAGGATCCCAGTTTGAGGGTAGCATGGGCAAAAAGTTACTGTGACTCTAACTCAAAGAACAAGCTGGGCATCGTGGTATATAGCTATATTCCAGATATGTGGGAGGCAGAGGTAGGAGGATCATAGTATGAGGTCAATGAAGCAAAAGTGCAAACTTTTCTAAAATATAACTAAAGCAAAACCCTATGTAACAATATCTACAGCCAAAAGGGTGAAGGCATGGCTCAAGTGGTAGAACATGTGTGAGGTCCTGAATTCAAACCATAGTACCACTAAAAAACCAACAAAGATGAACTCGTCTTTAAAGGGAAATGTTACAACTGGCCACATAGAAATGGCCAGTGTGAGATAATCAATTCAATGTTCAATGTAACTAAATGACATCTTACTTTAATGCAGTGAGTATCATTTAATTATGTTAAAAAAGTGGTAGATTCATACAAAAGATCTTGCAGAATAATTAGTGCTAGAAATAAGGGTTATAAGTAAGTTGTTCTAATATTAATATGACTCTCTACAATTACTGCTTCCTTTAGTTATCCTGTGAAAAATTTTATAAATTATGTCATATTTGTAGTACCACTCAAAACTGGTCATTTTATGACTGTTTTAAAAGATGATTTGTTATGGCCTAAGTATGCATCTGTTTAGTGCTGTTTTTGTAGATGACTGCTAATTCTGTACAGGTAGTGTGGAGCTGACTCCGTAGTCATCATTTAATTGTATGTGTGATGTTATAGTTCAAGGCAACTTTCTAAGCCACACCTGTGAGGCAAGCAGGAAGACTGTGATTTCCAGGTCAGCATGGGCAGTGCTGCCATGCCACGGCAGTGGAAAACTTTGCATTTTGGTATGATGCTATCAGTATATTCATAAAAAGTCAAGTCTTCTATTTTAAGGATGTTGTTGAAGATTGTTCATTAGACCAAAGACTGTTCCGTTACACAAGAGCTCCTGGGAGAAATTTCTTTATCCTACTTCTTCTAAGAATAGTTAAATTTCACTTGAACACTGTCGGTTTTCATCTCATGAACTTTGGGAATTATCTAAACTGGCAAACTGAGAGTCACGTTCATGGTACATTCATGGCAAGCTGGAAGGTAATTATTGCAGCAGTGTGCAAGGTTTTGCATTGCACAGTCTTACATAACTTGCATTTATTATTGTATGTTTCTGGAACAATGGGGTTGGCAGTTTAAGATTACTATTTTTGCTTTTGACAAAGATGTTATAAGCACATAAAATATACATCATTGTAGAGAAAAGTGTAGGGTAATACAGAGAGTCAATAGAGATCCTTCAGGAAAGAGAAAAAAGTATAGCCGCACTTTTTTCTTTTTACCTTGTTCACGATTTTAACTTATCCCTACCCTTTTCTTTCTCCTTTTGCAAACCTTCTAATTTAAGTTACTTTGTCAAATTTAAATGTTCATATAAGCCAATTTAAATTTTAGAAGTAACTAACAAAGATGGTAATACAGAAATAGATTTGTAATCCTGTTTTAACACTTTTTTAAAAATTATGACTCCACCTAGACATCGAAGTGTCAAAGATATATAATGCTATGTTTAAAAAATATATGCATTTCCCTAAAAAGCTATATATGAAATCATTTTATGTGATTATAGAAGTATATACATATTCTCCTGATATAATATACACACATAACTACAGCTGTATTATTGATAATGCATAAAGTGAAATGAAAAGTGACTTGAAGTATTTGCTCATCTCAGGGGTATATTTTCCTAATTTTAATTTCCAATGATTCACCAACATTTTCTAAAGTTAACAGTGTGACTTTATGCAGACATTTATTTATAAACTGCTGTAATTTTCCTTGACAGGAAAAATATCAGAAGAGAGCAAGCTCATTGATGAACAATTATATTTCTAGAGAAAATTATTAAAGGTGATAATTTTAAGACACTTGGGTGACCTCAGTGAATCTTTAGTACTAACATAAAAAAAGCTACACAGCTACTTTTAACAAGTCCATTTTCATGGAGAGAATATGGGCTTAGAAATGACTGAGGGATCAAACTTACGCTAATGCTTACACCATTCTTTACTTCCATCTTTTCACTAGGACCTGGCAGGATTTGGCAGAGCAAATCCTTGGACCCTTGGTGCATGCCGCAGCTTTATAATGTGTCAATTTTACTAGGTTAAAGTGCATTCTCCAGAATGTTTCTGGTTTGAGTGGGCACGAGGCAGAGTCTCAGGAGATTCAGAGGGCAGAAGGTAGCAGCAGCTCGCATGCTTTTTACTGATCCTCTGATTCACACTGTTGACAAGGCAGCAGCTGGGCCTACAACATGATCAACTTACCTGGACCCTCCCTCCACATCTCTGATTCTTGGTCATGCATGTGAGTTTAACTTTTCAACAGAGGGCTTTCACCTGTTGCAGGATGCCTGCTATATGCTAAAGTCAGAGGCAACAAGGTTAACACAGGTTTTCATCTATCCTTGTGGGGTTTCACCTTGCTCTCAATTCCCCCTCTTTATAGCCATCTTCTGGCTTGCCTGCCCTCTGAACTTCAAGCTCCAGGATCAGAAGTCACTAACCTTGTACTGTTTAACCAGCTCTCACAATTGTGTAAGGTCAAATCCTACAAATAATCCCTATATAAATATGTATATGTGTACATACATGTGTGTAGACAGCAGTACTTCTTCTGCTTTGACTGAAACTTGACTATATAATCCAACACTGCTAATGAACTTCCTTTACTTTTCCTAGAATTCCAACAAGAACAAAATCCAACAAAGTCACAGTTTCTTCAAAAAGTTAATACAGTAGTCCTCCCTTATCCACAGGAGATATTTTCCAAGACCTCCAGTGGCTGCCTGAACTGGAGATATATACCTATGATGAAGTTTGATTTATAAATTAAGCACAGTAAGGGATTAACAATAACAATCTGTAGTAATTAGAATAGGCTGAAATAAAAGTTATTTAAATGTGATCTCTCTCTCAAAATATCTATTTTATTATAAGGGTACTACACTATTTTATAATCACAGCTAATGCTGGGTAACTGGAACTACAGAAAGAAAAACTATAGATAAGGGGGGCAACTTTACCTTAAATCAGGTTTCATTATGTCTTGCTGGCCTGGGTGCTCCATTTCAGTAAGGTGCTCACATTTTCTCTTGAATCGTGTATACTGATTTTATGGCTTAACTTTCAGTTTCAATCTTACTACTCTTATTTCCAAGTTGTGCAAGATAGCTCATTATTTGTATAACAAACACAAATAACATCTACAATGCATTAAATATCGCTATATCCACTATATACAAGGCAGTATACCTGAATCTCATAAAACCCCTGAAGGTTAGGGAATATAATTTATATTTTACAAACTAAGAAAATGAGGCTAAGACAGGCTTCACACAGCCAATTAAGTGGTAAATTGTTCCACAGAACACACTCTGGGACATGCTGTTATAAAATATTATCTATCGGAAGATATATGCAGGCAACCCTGGGCACAGGTACCTCTACATTTGTTAATCAGAACTATTTAGGAACTGAGTCTTTCATACATTAAAAGTATAAAGACAGTGTTATTTATAATGATTATTTGAAGATATTACAAAAATTACAAATGGTCTGGAGCGTGAAAGAGATACCATGTTAAGTGTAACTTAAAACTTCCTATCCTGTATGTATTATCCCTTACTTACTAGAATACTAAACTAACTGGATTTTTTTATCTTTCTGTGGTGTGGTAATAGGGCCCAACCTCAGGGCCTCATTCATGAAGGACAAGTGCTCTATCACTTAGCTACACCTCCCCAGAGTGTTTTGTTCTCCCACAAAGAGCTTTTAATTCTACTTTACATTTTATTATAGTATGAAAACAAATGGAAATAATTGAGTGTAGCATGAATTAACAGAAAAAAACAAAAACAAAAACAGAGGCCAGTACATCTTTACCTGTGATTCTCTTTAAGAAATGTGACATCATACCGAGATGCACGCGTAGGCAAAGAGGAAAGGAGGGCATCAACTTTCATAACAAGGTCACTAATGCTATATAAACAAGGCAAAACAATGAATAAGATTTTCAGGAAGAGAAAGTTTTATATTTCACATTATAACGATCACTTCTATAAAGTCCCTACACTCATGTGCATGGTTAAAAGCTCCTACAGAAGTAGACTACAGAGAAAATCTACAGTATAACAACATTTCTCTAAAAATAGTCAAGACACTCAAGAAAATAAACACTGATGGTGGGTATTTACACCTGAAGTGAAAGTATAAACACAAATATGGGAATTATGTACACAGCCTTTAGGAAAATGGTTACCTCTTGGGAAGGAGGATATGGAACTGGATGGGTAACAAAGGGAAAGTATGATTCAAGGCAAATAAGACATTAATATCCACAGTTTGGTGGTAGTCAGTAAGTGGATATGTTGTATGTATCTTCTTTGTGATTTTTATTATGTATCTTCACTTGTCTACATAGTTGAAATATTTTTCTAATCTTAAAATATCATATGTAAAATACCAAACCTCAAAATGAATTGTTCTTACTATTTCAAGTGCTTACTTTTTCGAGTTGACTTCTATACTTTTAGCAATGTCTTCGATTTCCTCTACTACATCACTAAAAGTTATCTTTTCCAACAGGTAAAAATCTTCTACACAGAAATCTTCACCTAATGGTCCAAAGAACTTAAAAGGAAAACAGTCATATTATTGTTTATCTTCTAGAACATAACAGTTTAGGAGAACTATTTTGTTATCCAACAAGTAAGTTTTTAAGCAAAAATTGATTAGAAATTTAAAAATGTCAATCTCACTATTTATTAAATCTATCAGGAAACAAGACTATTTTCTTACTTTGATATTATAGGTAACATCTTGAATAAACACCTAATCAAAATGACAAAATAAAGTAGCAAATTTTCCATTACAAAATTTTATTGTGAAACCAAGCTGCTTCCAAGTACTTAAGCTTTTCATTCCAAATTATGAAAGCAACTGCCTATAAATCTTCTAATTTCAGTTTTCTTTAATGTTCATCTATAAATTGTAGTCTACACTAAGTACATAAGAATAAATATATAAAGCCATAAAACAGCAAAACCCAAGAGACAAATCGCATGATTACTATAATACCAACCTATCCTCAACTAGCTGATAACTGTATAAAAGGATTTACAGCATAACAAGGCACTTAGTTTAGTTTTCATAGAGTAGCAACTACAGAGTGGGAAACTACAAACTTGCCACATAGGTAAGTTTTCAGGATGGCTAGCAGCCCCCCACCTCCCGCCGCCCACCTATTTCACATGAGCATTTGCTACAGAGGCCATTATATGCAACAATCATAATACTGTATACACAAAGCCCTAATGTAGAAGATGAGTCTCACATAGCCTTATGTACAGAATCAATTACATTTAATGAAAATCAGAAAACATGTCAAGTAAAACACACTGACATTTTTTCTTGATAAAAAGAATGTAAGGTTTTCAGTACAATTTTCTCACTTCCCTCCCCTTCATCTGCTTCCATAATTGACATTGTCTAACAATTACTGCAGTTCTGCTCCTGAATCTTTGTACCTCATTTGCTCATATTAAAGGTAGCATTAGCTATCAAATATCATGGTTCACCTTAACTGTAAGATCACAGGGTCTTACACATGCACACACACACAGAGGCACTAATGCTAAAAGCATTCACAGCCTTAAGATCTGATAAATATTTAAGGCAATTTTGAAAGCAGTTTCAATGTTACCTTTTTTATTTTGTTTTTTACTCTGAGTAGGTAGGTAGGCTTGGAAGAGTAGAATTTTATATATATATATATATATCACTTCTAGCATTTGGGCAGTTTTGTCAATAACTCAGAATAAGGACATAAAATCTTAAATTGCTTTAAATTATTAATAAGATTGCTATCTCAGTAGAGAACCAGCTCTCTTTTGCTTGTGTAAATTAGCCCAACATCAAATAATTTGGAGAAACTTGATTCTTCTGTGTCTTCATTTTTCTACATAAACAACATATTTTTGGAATAATATAATTTAAATAGCATAAAATCACACAATGTTTAAGTAGGGAAGGGAGTATCGAACTTGAAAATCAAGTAATCGTATGATAAAATCTACCTGGTGCTTAAATCTTCTTTACAACATTTTTCAAATGTGATTTTTCAGTTATACAAAATAATTATTGTAACAAATACATTACCTCCTTTGCTTGCTCATTAAAATTTCAGAAGACTCTGCTAGAATGTTCATTGTTATATTGAGACACATAAAAATCTCTTTCCACTCACAGAAGTTTGATAAACTGGTCTTGATTCTATACTGATTTGCATCTAGTATAAGAAAAATCAAATCTACAAATATGCCTATGATTTCCATGATAGCTTTTAAATAGTTTAAGAGAAAGTAACCGAAAATACACTGTTTGGGACATTTCACATGCTTTAGATAAAAAAGCGTATTTAATTTCTCAGACATTATCCATTATCCAAATTTTAAAAAATTACCTAAATTTAAAATAAACCTAAATCTCACAAAATTTATATAGCTCATGGTACAACTGCATTTGAGTATGGACAAAAAACAGCCTTGGTATTTTCCTACTACTTTTTGCTATATGTCTTTCAAAAATTTGTGAATATGAGGTGTGGTAAAAAATAAGCAGAATTAGAGCAACAGCAATATTTGGAGTTTTAGTTAATATTAAGACATATATAAACTTCTAATTTTTCAGTTTATCAGTAAGAAATTACGCACACTTGTTTCTGACCACTCATAAACAATTTTAGCAAGGATGTGGAGAAAAAGGTACCCTTGTACACTGTTGGTGGGAGGGTAATTTAGTGAAGCCACTACAGAAATCTAAAAACTAAAAAGGTAACTAAAAATAGAACTATATGCGATAGTGCTGTACCACTCATGACCATGAATCCAAAGGAGTGTGCAATAGAGATATCTGCACACTCACGTTTATAGCAGTACTATCTACAATAACCAAGCTACGGAAACAGCCTAAGTGCCTAACAACTGACAAATGGTTAAAGAAGATGTTGTACATATGTACAATGAGGATTATTCACCAATAAAGAAGAAATGATGAAATTATGTTGTTTGCAAGAAAATTAATGGAACTGGAGATAATGGTGTTAGGCAAGATAAGCCAAGATCAGAAAGACAAATTTACATGTTTCTGTTCATATGTGAAATCTAGACAAACAAAATATGACACGATTGTAAAAGGGAGACTTGTGGGGGGACCAGAAAGAGACTACGATAGAAGAAAAATTTAAATATACATACACATTTAAATATATATATATATGTGTGTGTGTGTGTGTGTGTGTATATGAAAATGACATAGCGAAACCCACCAAAAACCCTTTAAAAGGAAGGTGGAGGAGGGAAGGGAGTTAAGGAAGAGTTTTATAGATAGGTGAATATTATCAAAATGCATTATTTGCATGTCTGTAAATATCACAATGAAACCCCTGTGTACAATTAATTTATGCAATAAAATTATGTGTCCATAAAAAACAATTTTAGCATTGAATATGTTCTAATTCTAACATATACATTTAGACAGGTTCTATGCTAAAATGTCATAATTCTGTCAAGTACTAAACTATGTCACAACTACACCCGTCTGCTACAAATGCTATGATTATTATGCTGTACAACAGTACTCTCAGAGTAATAAATTAAATACTGCATTATAACTCAAATCACATATAGATTTCTACTCAAAGGATAGGATAATGAAAATAGTATTTTTTCCATTAGTCACACAAAAAGTTTGACTTGATATCTATTGTTATTGCCACTCTTTCCTGATTTCAACTTGTGTACTCAACTGCGTACTTAACAAATCAATCTGAGGTTCAGTACTGAATTCCTTCTCTTCTTCTCCTCCCCTCAACTCCTCCTGAGCAACCTCCCTCATCTTGTAGTCTTCTTCACCTTGATCCATACCAACTCCATTCTGCCTGCAAGACTGTCTGGTTCCCAGCAGGAATGAGATTAATATCAGTATTTTTGTTAATTTTAAAGAAAATCAGGGTAAACATGTTTTGGAAGAAGTAAGTTGAGAATAACTATGGTATTTGTTTTTATTAGTATAATAACACTATATTAATTATATTTAACAATGACAAAGAAATATAGGGAGCCAAAGATAGCCATATGCTTTAAGGCTGTTTAAAAAAGGTATTATTCCCCCCAAAACAACTATTAAAGAGAAAAGTAATGCAATTTCTGGGCTACTATATGGGTCACTATCAAAATTCACTAATACTTTTTATAAGAGTGAATGGAAATTGTTACCACCAATTTGTAAAACAGCACTACAAACAGATGAATCCAATTCTAAATGATAGGTGAGCAGAGTTCATGAGAATGTAGAAAACAAAGAAAACATAAGTATATTAAAGCTCTGAAGATGATTCAGGGATATATAACTTGGTTCTCAAGCCAGAGATATGTCAAACATATCAAACATATTACATTAGTTGATTTTTTAAATAAATTTAATTTTTTTACTTAATTCAGAGGAAATAAAATCAGACTATCATGCTCAAAAATATTAAAAAAGAGATGCACACTTATTCTGTATGTCAATAAAAACCCTTGTCAGAACAAATCTTGTGCTATGCTAAGACAAAGTCTGATATAAAATTATATATCGATAGTAAGGTTATAATCATGTCTTTAACAGAAATGTCTACATATTATAGATGAAAGGGTTTGAATGTAAAATAATAAGCTATTAATAGCAAAATTTTAAAGGAAGGTGGGTGTAAGAGTCATTTTTCACAGGTATTAAAAGATTTTCTTAAGATGTCGTTTACATTACTTTATACTTCAAAATTTGCAAAAGTATGTCATGTGACATAAAAACTGCAGAGAAAAAAGGCACAAGAAGAAAAAGACGTAACAATGTACTTAATCCAAATACCACAACACTGACTTCTCAATGTTGTTATGTATTATGTTTTGTCTCATACGTCTGTTAAAATAAAAGAAGAGCTAGACAGATAAAGAACATTTTCCTTACCTGCATCCATGAATGGAAGAATGTTTTGAATAGAAGGAGGTATGAAGGAACAGGTAGAGTTTGTGTATCCATTTTGTTTATGCTGAGCTCTGACTTGTGTGTTCGTTACACATGCACCAGCCTTTGTGTGTCACACACATATCTTGTGACAGAAAAAAGTCTGCATCACTGTCATTAAGAAAAGTGAGCAACTGCTTCTTCTACTTACTTTTCCATTGCTTACAACACCTATTTCCCCAGGATGCAACTTAAGTACATCTTGACAGAAAAACTGGTGAGTTCGGAAAATATTTACTCCAACAGTGTTGTATTTCTTCTCAAAAGTATTCTTATCCATTCCCTAAAGTACAAGTTAAAATTATGAAAGTAATAAGTATGCAAATCATTTTCTTAATGAAACCTTTTATTAATATTGGTATAAAATTTGAAATATGCTAAATTATGATTTTAAAAGTATTATTTTCCTCTGAAGCAACAATTTAAAAGAATTCCCTTTTGCCAAGTCATTTACAAAATTTAAAATCTGGTTACAAACAGTTTGTTATTAATTCTTTGAGAATTTATTACTGAGTTAGTAAAATGCTTGGGAATATCAACTTAAATAAAATTTATCATTAAATGAAAGAAAATATTAAATTCTGAATTCAGTACTTCCCATTTAGTGTTTAAAAAAGACATACCATAATTCATCCTCTTGTACCAATCCCAGAAAACCATCTACTAACAGTGTATTTAAGTAATAAAATATTGAAAGTAACTCTTGATCAGAGTCAGAATTTATGCAGACACTCATAGAAAACCAATCACAAATAGGTTCCTTGCACATTCATACTGAGGTATACGTCTCCCTGTTAGTACTTTTTAAACTTTAATGTGAAAATCGCCTGGGTATCTTGTTAAAACATAGATTCCATTAGTAGAACCAGGGTGGGCCCTTATACTGAATTTTTAACAAGTTACCTGGTATTCCTGCAATGGTGAAAATGCTCCGTTGCACTGTCAAGTATGGTAGCCCCAGCCACAGACGGCTATTTAGCACTTGAAATATGCATGAATCAGGAACTGAATTTAAACTTTAATTTTAATTTAGGTATAAAACAGTCACATGTGTCCAGTTGCTACAGTATTGGAAACTCTCACTTTCTAAATCCCATTTAAGTCATCTCTCTGTCCACAACCTCTAGACATGTTCCCATCACCAGAATAACCATTACTCAACTTTTCAGTTCACAGACCCTACCACTTATTTATTGTTCGTCATTCTTCCCACAGAATAATTTTTCTCTTACTGAGTTACATCCTAGTTTTTGTTACTATGGAAAAACTTCCCATGCTTAGTTCTCTTGTGTGGTATCTTTCAGTCATAATCTTCTGGCAAAAAAGCCCCAACCCCAGTTAAACATCAGTCTACTGAGTGTGCAACTGGATCCAAAGAGTGGAATACAGCTGCAGAAAAATATGTAACCAATGTTTATCATGATCACTCACCTCAAGTGAGCTGTCAGCAATGATCAGAAATCTTCCTAACCTTAATGTACTTAATTCAACTCATCTTCAGAGTAATAGAAAAATATTTGACATTTTTCTCTTCTCCTTAAGTATTTAGGAATGCCTACTCCTACTCTAATACTTAGCTCATGATGTGACTTTGAAACTGAAAGCAATCAGAAGAGAAATACTTCATTATATTGCCACTAAAAAAAGCCACTGTTCTGTAGTATCTGTACCCACACATTCTACCTTTCTTCTGGTTAAAATGGATCTGCTTGGTGATGGACTAAGCAATTCTTACCTACTCAAGAACTGTGCTCACCTCTCTTTATATAATCTTTTCTCATTTTTGAGGATATACATTGCTCCCATTAGCATACAAAAAGGTAACATCCCCCAAATTTAGAAATCCTGTCTTGATCTCAAGTCCCATTCTAGTTACAGTCCTATTTCTCTGTATACAGAGAAGTCTTATAGAGTGTTACTTATACTGTCTCTATTTCCTGATTTCCTTTTCTCTTTTAAATCTACCTCACTTTTACACCTATCATTCCACTCACTGAAACTATTCTAATTAAAGACACCAACAATCACCTTGCCAAATAAAATGGTCAAATATGGGGTCTCATTTGAAGAACTCCTGGCATAGTGTGGAGAATGGATTATGAAAAGCCTGAGAACTGGATGTAAGCAGGGCGAGACGCAGCTTAATTACTTTTACCTGTAGGCCGAGGTTGGCACAGCCCCAGCCAGGAAACAGAAAAAAGCAAACAGCTGTATCTCCTAAACTGGCATTCAGAGAATCAGGAAAGCAGGTTTCTCCTGTTACAATGTCACGCCCCTCCTTGAGAGCCTCTGCTCCACCCTGTTTATAGCTGTTTATAAAAGACCCACTGAAGGAGGGCTTGGGGCTTTTGCTTTTTGCTTTTGGTTTTTGGTTTGAAGGGCTTTGGGGACTTTGGCTTGATTCTTTTGCTTTGGGCTTTTTGGTGTGGGAAGCTTTTGGAAGGGAAAAGAATTGCTGAAGGGAAAAGAATGGCTAAAGAGGGGTTGACAGAAAGCCTGTACTGAGAGCTTTAACATAGGCCTTAGTAAAGAAAGCCAAAGAAAAAACTTTAACATAAGTTTTAGAAGCTAAAGAAAAGCCAAAGAGAACATGGGACAGTGCAAGATAGAGGACCAAGACTTTGCAAGTCTGAGCACCTAGGCTTTAAGAAACCTAAAGAGAGAATGCTAAAGAAAAGCTGCAAGCCTGAGGGCAAAAGACTTTAAGAGCAATTAAGCTAAAGATAAGCTAAGAGCAAATATGGGACAGTGTGAGTCTAAGGAAAGAAGTTTTAAGCAAGGTTTTAAAGAACTGCAAGGAGTAAGGCTTTAAAGAATAAAGATATAGAAAAGAAGCAATGAGGGTTGGGCGTCTCCACCCAAGCACCCAACACACCTGACCCCACTTTCTGTCTGTCTATCCTATGTCTTTTCTGAATCTCCAGTTGCCTCCAGTTAAGCCCAGTTAGGTTCAGTAATAATCAGGAGCAAGACAGAAAAAGCTCACTCCAACAAGGGAGGGAGTGAGAAAACAGTGCTCCCTACAGCATAGCTGATCATTCTCTCTCCTTGAAATACTTTCTCCAATTGGATTGCAGTGCACAATACTCATAGTTATCTTCTTAATTCACAGGCTGTTCCATATGTCTCCTTCACTGGATTACTTCTTTCATATGTGCCTCTACATGTTGTAATGTTCCAGGGCCCAGTTTTCAGCCCTCTATCCCCTTCCACCTAACCCTTCCACTTACCTTTTAAGGTAATCTCAACTAATCTCTTAGCTTTAAATACCATATAATATTGATGGCTCTCATATTGATTTTTTTAAAAAGAAGATGACATTACTTACAGCCCTCACGAGTTCAGTACTCATTTACTCAACTGTCAACATCTTCATCTGAATGGCCAGTAGGCATCTCCAACTTAACATGTACAAAATGTAACTCCTGATTCCCTGTGTGTGCAAATCTTCTCATCCAGACTATTTCATCTCAAAAAGACACGATCATTAATTCCATCTGTTTAGACCCCAAATCCTAGATTACTTTCACATCTCATACGCAATTGATCAGCTAATCCTGTTGATTATAGTTGAACACCTATTTCATCAACTCTACCACTACCTATTCCAAGACATCATTCCTTAGACTACTGTCATAGCATTCTAATTGTCCATGCTATTTTCACTCTCATCTACTTATGATCAAACCTCTATCGGATCCAAAGTTATCTCTTTAGATTTCTTACCTCCTTAAGATGCGTCAATGACTTCTCAATATTATCAGAAAAAATTCAGTTCCTTACCATGGCTTACAAATTCTTAAAATACCTGGGATTATCTCTGATCTTATCTCCTGGTAACTTCCATACCACCACTCCACACTTGTCATAATGATCTGACTATATACCAGACCTAGCAAGACTACCTCTTGTGTCAGGCTTTCAGACCTGCAGTGTTCCAAATCAATCTCCTCACAGACTTTCCTATAGATTGATCTCTCATTTCATTCAGAAGTGCTCAAATATAAGCTCTTCAGATATGCCTTTCCTGACCACTCCCCTAAAGCAGCATACTCCAAACTATGTAGTTTCTTCCATCTCTTTACATTTCATTACACTTACTTTGTCTTTCTCACCCAATGTAAACTCCACAAACAGCAGAGATCTGTCTTGTTCACAAAGATATATCCACTGTTTGGTAGATGGTCAATAAAATTTTTGAATTGATGAATGAATGTTATTCACAGAAGATCATCTTCTAACTTTAGACTTTCTCCATATTGGACCCTTCAGTAAAATACTTGAGGATTGTTTACATAATGCTTTAATTCCCAAATCTTCACTACATATCCTACGTCAGCAACTTTAAGGATCATAAAGTAGTTATAAAATATATGAGAGCTTATTTTGCTAAATGTCTCTATGCCATCATATCATTTAATTTTTATCTTTCCCATTGTATAACTGTTTATTATTCCCAGTTGATACTTTTTGATTTTTTTCAAGTATCTTGATTTATAATTTTGAAATTTACAGCATATATTTATTATTTCAAACTAATAGTTACTGACCTCAATAAGGAATGTTTTAATTTTATCTCCAGAGTAAATAGCTGTAGCAGTTTCTTCTTTTGCCAGTTTCCAGAGAAAGCTCCTCAAAAGGCTATTTTTCTGTGTGAGAAAAGCTGCCAAAATTCCTCTAGAAATAATAGTGTTCTCTTCATTTATTTTTGATGTAGGATTATAAATAATCCCCAACCGACTGAGAACACTTGTTTCCTGAAAAACACGTTTATGGGTTAAAAAAGACCAGTTTTTCAAAGTTGAATATGTTTTCTTTCCCATTAGTTTTCTTTCACTTTATCTTATGCAACCTTTCACTAACAGTCTTCCAATGATGACTGTACTGAATGTGGTATTATCATCTAAATAGCTTGAAAATTAATCATTTTAGTAACCCTTACTTCTTTGCATAAAGATTCTTTGGTAATGCAACATTTAACCTCCTTTTTGTGAGTATATGAAAAGACATACATTAGAAAAGACACAAAAACAAAAATGTGGAGCACAATGAATTAAACTACCATAAAACTACCACCAAGACCAGGAAATAAAGCATTACCAGCAACCAAAGACATCTCTCACAGCTCCTGCTAATCACTACACCCTCCGATTGTTCTAAAGACCACTAGTCACTATCCTGCTACTTATGATAATACCATCTTTGCTTTTCTTTATAGTTTACTCTTAAGCTTGCATTGCTAAACATTTAACTTATTTTGATATAAATGGAATAACATAAGACATATCTTGTGCTCTTTTTACCACTCAATATAATTTAAGATCATCAGTATCATTGTCTGTAGTTGTAGTTATTTTTTGATATTGTGATGGTTAATCCTGTCAACTTAATTGTATTGAAAATACCTACAAGATTACTGAAGCACACCTCTGGAGGGGCTTGTGATGGTTTCCAGAGACAATTAGATCATGATGGCTCTGACCTAATCAATGTTAATACCTGATAGATTAAAAAATGGATGGTATTATTGGGAGGTGGTAAGAGGTAGGAGGTGGGGCCTTAGTTGGAGGAAATGGGTCACTGGGCATATGCCCTTGGGGACTATATGTTGCTCTGGCCTCTTCCTGTACTCTCTGCTTCCTCTCAGGTATGAGTGAACAGCTTTCCTCTGCCATAATGTTCTGTCTAAGTACATGGGGCACCAAGAGACCAATGTGGACTGAATCCTCTGAAATGTGAGCCAAAATAAATCTTTCTTTTTTTTAAAAGTTGCTCCCTTAAGTATTTGGTCACATCAACAATAAAATAATTACTACAGGTACTATAGAACATACTCTTTTATCCATTCTACTATTGCTGTACATTTGAGCTTTTTACAGTTTAGAGCTCTATAAATAGGATATGCTGATCTTTAAGCAGCCAAGCTGTTTCCACTACCACTGGCAATATATGTGTTCCATTATCTTAAACATTTTGTAGTGCCACTTAAATCATCATGGTGCACATCTAAAAACATCTCATCAGGGTTTTACTTTGCTTTTCTCTTATCATTAATGATACTAAACATCCTTTAATATGTTTGCTGCTCTCTTTTGCCATTTTTTATAGAATTATCTTTTTTTCCTAATGTGTAGAGATTTGATTTCCAAGACTCCAATGCTTTCTGGTTATATAGGAACTGATATCTTCTTCCATTTTGTGGCTTGTTTTATTGATGGTGTGTTCTGACAAAAAGCAGTACTTCATTTTAATGTATAGTAGCTCAAATCATTGATATTTTAACTAATGGCTACTGGGCTTTATGTCCCATTTTAGAAACCATTCCCTACTCTGAAATCAAGAATTTGTGTTTTCATATTAGATCTATAATTTATCTGAATTGGGTTTTTTTTTTTTTGTATGATGTCAAAAGCGGGAAGTTTCCAAGAAAATCCTTAGTGTTTGATAAGGCTAACTATCAAAAATCAATTGTTAATATACGCATGGATGTCTTCCTGGGTTCTCTTTTCCCTCATTGTTCTAATTTTCTATCCTTGAGTTAAGAATAAGTTGTCCCCAATTATGTAACTTTATAGAAGGCCTTGATAGTCAGCAAAGCAATTATTCCTCCTTTGTTTTAAGAGCATTTTAGCTACTCTTGGTCCAGAGGATCACTACGTAAGTTTGTGAATCAGCTTGACTATTTCCATTGAAAATGCAGATTCCTATTTGAAATGCAATAAATCTATACATCAATTATGGAAAAAAGCAACATATTTATGATACTGAGCTGTTTGATTAATGATTATGGTATATCCTATTCATGTAGGACTTCTGTATTTTCAGTATTAAATGTACTTTGTAATATTGATTTCTACTATTTGATATTTTTGATACTATTGTAAATGGTATTTTTATTTAAATTACATTCCTTGTTTGTTGCAACTATTAGGGTTTTTTTTTTCCCAGTACTATAGATTGAACCCAGGGTTTCTTATATACTCACCTGGCATCAGACAAACTATCTAAATTGAAAAATTAACTCTAATATATGTAGATGAATTTGTATTTTCTGTGTAAACAATTTGCAAAAAAATTGACAATTTAAATTCTTTTTTTGCATTTAATAATGTTTATTACTTTTCCTTATTGCTTGAGGTTTTCTGCACCCATAGGTCATAAATAAGACTGATTTTCAATCTTCCATTCTTATATAATATCCTTTCAGGCATTCAGTTTTGAAGTAATGCTTGCTTTGTAAAATAAATTTGGACATATGTTCCTGGAACTTTTTGAGAAGAGCAGGCAGAAGTAATTGCTCCATAGATCCCCAAACAACCTTTTTTGAAATTTGCTGGTCTACAGGTCAATGAGAAGAGCCCGAATGCATTTTTGACATGGTCTAATATGATATGAGCATCTTTCTACCAATGTTACAATGTTTCATTTAAAATATGTTTATCTATTTATGATGTGGTAGCCAGCCTCTAAAATGGTGCCAATGAACCCCACCTCCGGGTACTGATGCTCTAGTATGGGCCCTTCTAACACTGAATAGAAGTGAGCTATGTGACAAAAAGGAAACACAATTTGTGACTTTTGAGGCCAATTCATAAATTACTCTGAATTACACTGTGGTCGTCCTTATTTCTTCATCATTCATTCTGAGGAAGGTCAGCTGTCATGTTGTAAGGATTTTTAAGTAACACCAAAAGCAGTTTGTGTGTCAATAGAATGAAGTGCTTTGTTATAGCCAATGAAAACTGAGACCTGCCAATAGGCAGGTAAGTAAAATCACCATAGAAGCTCATCTTTCAGCTCCAGCCAAGTCTTCAGATGACTGTAGCTAAAGTTAAAATCTTGACAGCATCCTCCTGAGAAGCCCTAAGTCAGAACTACTTAGTTAAGTTGCTCCTGAATTTCTGAATCTCAGAAACAGGTGAGAAAAATAAATGTTCACTGTTTAAGTCATTAAGTTATGGAATAACTTGCTATATAGCAGTACATTTATACTTAGCTAAAAACCAATTCATAAAATATTCTGTTTTCCATTTCTTAGATGTTTTCAGGGTTGGAGGTGTGGCTCAAGTGGTAGAGCACCTGCCTAGCTAGTGTGAGACCCTGAGTTCAAACTTCAGTACTGCCAAAAAAAAAATCTTGGGTGTTTTTAAAATCTAGATACATGGATAAGTTTCCTTAGAAATACAGATGCTTATTACAAAGTACTTTAAAATAACCATGCAAATGAATCCTCATGAAGTATATTGGTTTACAATTATTTCATAACAAGAAAAACTAAGGTTGACTTAAAGCTTAAAATATCTTTAAGATAAATTTACCTAGTCTTTCTTAAGTAATAGGGAGAAAAAGTGCTAACTATGTGCCCCAAACTTCCTATTCTAGTTATTGTTGGTTAAGAAGCAGATTTGGGTTCTCTGAAACAGTGGCAGCCTCTAAAGTAACACACATTGTTTTAATAATCCGCCTGCAATCGCATTATTAGACATTTCTCTGTTTGACTGTAAGGGCTACTGGAGAATATATAGGTCATGAGTCACAGAAGACAAGTAGGTTCTTCTTTTTCTGGGTAGTTACTTGTTTTACATAGAGGCTGAATATTAGTTCTTGACAGTCTTCTTAGTACTATGTTCTGATCAAGTGAATTAAAGTGTTAACATGGAGGAGAAAAAAAGATTTAATGCATGTTCATTACATTGTTTTCTTAAAAACGCAACAAATTGTTTATAGGAAGAATACTTACTCACCATGTGCTTTAAAGCATTAAACAGCAGTTTTCTCCCAGATGGTGCATCAAAATCAGCAATAATCCACAGAGTGACTACAGCAACTGCATCATCTGAAATTTTCAAATAGGCAAGTAAAATGAATTCTTTCAAAAAATCAAACTAAGAGGAAGGGAACATTTCCATTTAACAAAACACAGGTACAATAAATATCTTAAGATTATTCTGAAAATAAGTAAATATTGCTAAAAGTATGTGTGTATGTTGATATATGTGCATACATATGAAAATGCTACAAGAGTAGCTCATTGAATAGCTTTATGTAAATGCAGACCCCAAAAAGAAAAAATAGTATCTAAGGGACCCATCTGTGGGATAGTTTTACCAGCAGAGAAAATTCTACTGTGGCTTTCACAGTCTCAGTGTTAGAAAATAAAATTGCCTTCTAGATCCATTTTTGAAAAACATTGGTATTTATGCCACATATATATGTAAAAACAGATACAATCAAACTTAATGGATATAGAAAACAGCTATATTTTTATTAGCTTATAGATTGATTTCCAGTAATTTTGGTCTTCTCCATTTTTTTAAACAACAGTGATTTAATTCACTTTATAGAAAAATCCAAAGATTTGGAATTTATAGGAAGAAACCATTTTTAATTTGGCACCACAGTGAAATGAAGATAATTTCATGCATAACACCTGAGATGATACTTGTCTGACTGTCATTAAAACTTACAGAAAAATTGGTCCTTTAGACCAGGTGACCAATTTCAAACAAGTATAAAAAAATACCTGCTCTTCCAAAAACTTACTCCTAAATAGATGTGAAACTATAGTTACTACCACAGTCAGCACTACTTAACTATACAAAACAGCTTTGATAATGAGAGAAAAAAGAATGTCTACTTCAAGATCTCTCTCCTCCTCTCCCTCTCTTCTTTTCTCCCCCTTCCCCTCTCTTTCTCCCCCTTCTCCTCTCTCTCTCTCTCTCTCTCTCTGTCTCTCTCTCTCTCAAAATGGTGTTGAGGAACCCAACCACTTCAGAAGCAACTTAAGAATATGGTAGTGAAACATTTTTTTTTTCAAAGAAGAAAGGTAAAAGAATTCTAGCTCTGCCTTAATGTCAGCACTTCTGCCATCATAGCTAATAAACTGAGAAACATTTCAAAAGTGTTTAATAAATTCTCAAAATTGTATGATTTTTCCCATAGTGCAGAAAAGAGGAAATTAGAATCTCAATTAATATTTCTTTAATTTGCAAGAGAGTTATCCAAGCAGCACTAATTATAGGCTAACTTAGTCTGATGCTGACAGGCATTTTTGAAATTTAACCTAGAACCTCATCTCTGACTCTTCTTGATTTTATTTGACAATTCAAGGCCATAGTCTACACCACAAGACGGAACTGGATTATATTTTATTACTTGTTGGGTTTCTTATAGACATAACACTTTATTAACATTAAATCAGGGAATCTGTTGGAAAGTATCTAGTTGAAACTTGGATTCGATCTCCAGGTGTTCTTCAAAACTGAGTGTGTGGCATTTGCTTTAAATATTTCTCATATATAGAATTTTACCTCTTATAACAGTTTATTCCACTTTAGATTACTCTTATTGCTAGAACTGATAAAAAAAAAACAGCCTTCTTTTATCTTCAACTTATTGACTCTCATTTTTATCTCCTGAACAAAGCAGGCCAAATGAAACAAAGCAAAACATAAAAACTAACCAAATTCTACTTCAAACTATTTGAACAGTCATTTGTACCATCACAAATTTGTGGTACCACATCAGACTTCATTGCTTAGCCTAACTCCTTATTTCCAAATGTCTTACTGTCTTGGTCTCTCCTCTCTGGTTGTGACCTCCAACTTAAGCAAAACATCCAAATGCTGTTCAACCACAATGCAGAAAAACTATTATCTCCCCTCACCAGGGAAGCACACTTTTATCCATACATCTTATCAGTTTACATAGAATTGAAAAAGATTACTTTCTTAAAAAAGGTGAAAATAGTTTATTAAAAGAAAAAAAGCAAAAGACCATTATGAACCCTTTCTGCATATGTGATTAGTTAGGATAAGAGGCAAAATTTCCTTGGCATAACCCTTAAATTGTAACAAATGACAAACTGTCAAACTGAAACCCAGGCCTCCAACCAAAACTGGAAACAATAAAATTTGTTATGCAAGCACTTTACTAAAATTAGAAGTTTTCATTACTTTAGGAATCCCAGAAAATATAGGCTTCTTACCTTCTTGGTTTAAATAATACATGTTCTTTGCAATCACAGCACTCTTATCTTGTGAATCCAAGAAAAAGAAAGTAGAGAAATCTTCAACATCAGCAGTTACTGAAAAATTTCATATTAAATGTTTAATAATGAATCAATGATACATTCATAATAAACAGTTGTAGAACAGTATACAGAGAATTATTTTACCTGATGAAGATATTAAATTAAGGTACTGCTGCTTATTGTCCAAAATCAAAGAATTTATACGGGGCACAACATTATTCTTATCCATTAGGAAATCGATTGCATTCACTTGATCATTTAATATGCCCTAAAATAGCAAAAAATATGATTCCAAAAACATAGGCAATTTATATGCATATTTTTAAGTTATGCATTCTATATGTGTAAATTAAAAAAATTACTAGTGGGGGTTGGGG